TACATGCTTATTCACCCTAAACAGGATCTCGTAACAATAACATTCTTCCCCCTTTCAAATCAGCATTCTCATAATTTTGAATAATTTCTCTTCTCTGCCATTCGCTGAATCTTCCAGGACCCATTCTGTCCCCACCCCTGCCATTGTAAATCTACTGCAATTTTTTCAAAGGTGGACACCACCTGCGTTACAATAAGGAATTCTGAGGTATTTCCCCTTCAGCTGAATGGATTTTTTTGGCATCGCAAATACAGATTTAGCAGTTAGTGTACAAGTACTTGTGGATAGTTTATTAGGGAGCGAAATTTTGAAAAATGTCTCTAACGGCACAACTATACATTTCTTACCTTATTTATTTTGAGTTATGGTTTTCATTTAATGCATTTTCTACTGTTAGTCATATATCAGACTAGGTTGATTTTTGCATCTATAAGGCCCACGACGATGTCAGCTCAATTTAATCTATTGCGGCGTTTCTGTGTAATTTTAATTTTTTTCCCGCCATTTTTCTCGAGTGCGGCATTTACGCTGATGCGGCCTTTCTTCCGGAAATTATGGTAATTGGAAAATTTCACATTTTGTTTACGCTATCAGAAAGCCTTTAAATTCGAGGCTATTATCGTCATCATCCTACCATGAAATAGGGGAACTAGCCATAAATTATGCCAAGCACTTTTTAAAGTATTTGGAGACACATCTTCCCAAGGTCTTGTGATGCTCCATACAGCAGATTTTATGCTAAAGTATTCTTGAATAGTCTTGTCATTATTTAGAAATTTAACATGTATTTTAAAAATGGTACTTTATATTTGCATTTTACCAGCACGCACACTATTCTGATTTCAATAGGCTGAATGATAGACATACGGTTTGGAGGAAAGAATAATACGGATACATTATCTTTTACTAAAATTTAATTGAAGTGTGAACCAAACAGTTATTATACATTCAGGGCAATTTTTGCATCATCAGGTAAACCAACGAATTCAAATGTTGCCAAGCCTTGGGGGTGAGATGATTTTCAAACCAATCATTCATTAGTGCGTGTGTCACCATGTTGTTTTTTTATTTGCATGATATATAACAAGGAAAATCTTTACTCCTTTAAATGCTCGAGTTCGTGCATATTTTTTCTAATTACGAAAAGTTTACTCTTATGCATTCCTGCAGCATCTGCGCTTGCTAAAATTGTTGGTCTCACTTTGGAATCTTTGACACCAGTTAGAGCCTTTTCTGTAGAGGTTGCTAAGGCGTTTCATGGTTCCAGTTTGCAGCCAGAAAAGACCAGTTTCATTTGGTTTTCACTATTAACGAGTTAAATGAATTCATCTGCAAATAGCTCAGCAGCTTCACTATCAGTTGAAGCACTAAAACAATGGCCACTAGCTTTCCACATTGCTCTTTTTCACTCGTGGTTGCCAGATCATTCTAGTTAAACAATACGCTTAACAGATCTAGGTGCCAATTCACTTCTGCTTTAACACGAATAACTAATTTAATAAAAAATAATTTTTTTCATAAACTTAAGAAATATAAACTAAAGGAAGTAAAAATGTACGAAATTTAGCGAATCATTTTCACCTAATTAATAAAAAAATACTTATTGTACCCTATACTATTGTCTATATTTATTGTATGTTTTTTATGATCCGTATGTAAGTCGTCCCCCGTAATTTAGCTTCAGAAAAAGTTCCCAAAGTTCTTGGCTTATGTGTGAAAATATCCGGCAATGTTTATTTGCTTCTTCTTTTCGTGCATAAGATTTATATTCTTAGACGGATCAGCCTTCTGTACGAAATTTTCCGTCTATAATGATGAGAAGGTTACACCACATTAACATGAGACACTATAAATTTCTTAAGAATTCATATTAAGAATAGGGTGGTTTAAATACTAAATTGTGTATTTTATCAACAGGAGCAAAATTTTAATTTTGTTCCATGGTGATTTTTAAATTTGGTTAACCAACCTGTTGAATATGTGCATTCATTTTTTAAGTTCATTTCTTCATGAAATATTTTTGACTTCAGCCATTAGCATTGGACCAGTCAATGGTACGCCTTTGCTCTGAAGCTGTCTGACCATCACTTTTAGCATAACGAATAATTTTGCAATTTAATTTGTTAAATTTTTCCTGTTTTTATTGCAATGTGTCAAAATCGGCAAAAAATTCAAAAAGTTCCTTTTTCTGTTTTCTTATGTCATATACAATTGATTTTTCCATGCCATACTCCTCCAGATTTTAAGGTGCCCACCAGCGGCCGAGCGGTAAAGTCGCTGAACACTGGTAGTTCGGTCCGAGGTTCGAATCCCGCGAACGGGCTGGCTGCATGGGCGTTTTCATGGTTTTCCCCATGTGTAACGTGTATACGAGCCAGTTTCCCTTAGAAAGTCCTCCACGAAAGGCATCCCTCCCTTTAGGCAGATAGCCCTCGAGGCTTTGCCATATTCACATACACACACACACCAGATTTTGAGACAAAAATACCTTTATCCATCAATGAACATAGAAACATACTGTCACTTTGTAGATACTGTTGGCAACTCCAGAATTATTTTGGCATAATTGAAAGTTCAAACTTTAATTTTCAAAAAAAAATGTTGTAATAATAACAACCTGTATAAAATAATGAGCTGAATCAATTCAGAAAGTTAAGAAACTGCACAATCTGCTATATTAACTGAAATTTCCTTGGAATCAGTAAAGTATAATTTTAGCCTAGCTAAATAGCGTCCGCTATACATTATTGGTTATGTATCATGAGATTGGCGACGGAAGACAAGTTGTTCCGCTAAATCTTGTCTTGCTTCTCTCATGCACTGAGACAATTAAGCTTGAATTATATTATTTTAGTTATTTATTATACTTACGTCTATTTCTTGCACATGCTTAAGGCTTATTTGAGTTCTGAATAAATAAATTTCCAGTCCTTAAGGCTTATGGAGGACCAGCACTAGATATTTTACCGCTTGATGTAGTCTCTGCGGGTCCTGAATTCTGCTACCAAGTGCCTCTTTAAGTTCTAAATTTTTACTGCGTCTAAATTTCGGGTTCCAGTGCTTTCCCTAAATTCTAAAAATTTTCTCATCCCTGAATTTTGTTGCTGGGTGTTTCACTAAATTCCAAAAAAAATGTCTTCCTAAATTCGATGATACGAGCTCTGGTGCCGGTTCTGGGTTTATGTGAAAACAAATAAGTTATTTTTAATTCAAATAGCACTAAATGTAACCTTTTAGGGTACTTTTCTGTTTTGCCGGTGCAAGCTAATAAAATCGCCAATAATGGTACAGCTAATGCCAAACGGAATATCCTCGCTGGTGTAACCTTTTGCACCTCATTTTCAAAACAAGTAGCAGCCATTTCTTATCAGATTGATTGTTTCTTTCAATACTGGCATACAATTACATAAAAGTTTTACCGGATAGTTCAATTTTATGCTTTAAGGCCATTCGCAGTTTGTGCAATTAGGATGCATCACCACTCCCTGAAGGCAAAAATAATAGAAGGCAAAGTCAAGGGTTTAAACTCATCATCCTAAGAGAATGCACTAGCAAGTAAAGCACTGCAGTCTTTATATAATTTCTGAGTAAGTATTCGTACAAATTGAAATAATTCTTGCTTAATTATAATTTAAACTTGTATTCCAAATTAAGATTTAACTCGAAATTAATGTAGATAAATTCGAGAGAACTAGAACTTTTGTAGCGTAGTTTGCGTGAGATGAGATCACTTGGGGTCATGTGATATGAACCGCGAATCAGGATGTGGACTGTGAAGTATTTAGTCATTATAAAATTCAAAATAAACTAACTTGGTTTTTTTGGGTTTTATTTGGCGCCAAGAAGTTGGGTTTTTTTTCTAAGTGTCATAAGCATATGGATTTTAGATTTCTCGTCAAGAGGATTTATCCATTCAATAAAAGGTTACCATACTCTTTGTTATCAATTATTAATTTTTGTTAGGCGTTGTTGCATGAGTCATTTTCAAGTGTCAATGCTGATAAACATGCGGGATTGATGCAAATATAAATAAGGATTCGCCAGGTTGGTGTCGAATATATGTAAATCAGCGTGTCTCACTTAGAATGTTTCAGTTAAGATGTATGCAAAGCATACGCAATATCCACAAATTAATGCTAAAAAAATAACTTATTTTATTTAAGCCAGAGTGAATTAGAATCGAAACTCTCCTCGTGTTTTATAACGAAGAGAAAAAAATTAAGTGCGCATGTGTAAAGCATACAAAAAAAAAGTTGGTGGTGGCTTTGAGGTCCAAAGCATATGGAAGCATATGGAAAAAAATTTTTGTTAAATTTTTCTCGTCAACATTTCTTAGAGGATTTAACTTTAATCATCGCCAAGCAATAAGGTAAACATAAAAGGTTACCATACTCTTTGTTATTCAATTACTAATATAAAAAAATTGTTTAGGCGTTGTTGCATGAGTCATTATTCAAGTTGTCAAGTGCTGATAAACATGCGGTGATGGATGCAAATAATAAATAATGATTCGCCAGGTTGGTGTCAGGAATATAATATATTAATAGTGTAAAATCAGCGATGTCTCTACTTAGAATGTTTCAGTTTAAGATGTATGCAAAGCAGATACGCAGCTACAGAGCCAAATTATTGATCACACAAATTAATGCTAAAATAATTGTTTCTTCAATAACGAGATATTTTATTTAATGCCAGAGTGAAATTAAGAATCGAAACTCTCCTCGTGTTTTATAACGGAAGAGAAAAAAATTAAGTGCGCATGTGTAAAGCATACAAAAAAAAAGTTGGTGGTGGCTTTGAGGTCCAAAGTTTAGATCATTCTGGATATTCGACGTCTGGATCTCAGACTTTGTACTGTTTTTAATTTGTAGTGTGATATATTTTATAAAGAATTTCTGTGCATTGCCTTATATTATGTAAATATCATATTTATAAACATTTTAATTTATTCAATGGTGAAAGTTATTTATTTTATTAATTTTAATATTTCTAATTTTTAGAGAAGGATACTCTTGATGTATGGGTGAATGGAGAAAAAATGGAAACAGCAGTATGTCTTATGCATATTTATTTAATTATCTCTCTTAATGATGTTTATTTAGTGTTCACTAATCTGTAATACTTAATCATGTTGAGTTTGTAGTACTCAGCTCTTTGAACGATGTCAAATTTGCTTCAATGTCACTAATGTTCACAGATACTTTTGTTTCAAATACATTTGATGTTTTCAGGAGGTTTTCTACAAAATATTACATAATGTTATATTTTGATTGGAGTAAACAATATGAAACAAAAACAAATCTTTATTGTGACAAATAAAAAGTACTGAAATAATCAAGTATATATTATTTAACATCATATTTGTAGTAATACGAACTGCATGACTGTTATATTGTAAATTCAGTAACCAAATCTATGTAATGTGATGCTGTTTCACTGATATCCTCACCATTTTGACAATGTATTATGCTTATCGTTTTGGGAGTTAGTGATAAAAATAACTGTACATCTGTGTTATGGAATAAGATCAGTTGTATTATGGAGCTTTTGTTCTTAAATGAAAATTATGATATATCCCGAAATTCAGTATACTGGTCATGTTAAATAGTGAGAAGGCATATGTGGTTAAAATGAGGTTTAGAATAAAGTTAAATTTTCTCAACATGCTGAAAATCATATTAAGAACAGACATATTAGACACCAGCATAACAGGTACATCAGATTTGTGTACCATTTCCATCTGCAATTGGGTCTACCAGTGTCCGAGCAGTAAAGTAGCTGAACTCTGGTAGTTCAGTCCGAGGCTTGAATCCTGCGAATGGGCTGGCTGCATGGACATTTTCATAGTTTTCCCCATGTGTAATGTGTATACAAACCAGTTTCCCTTAGAAAGTCCTCCATGAAGGCATCCCTCCCCTTAGGCAGATGGCCCTTGAGGCTTTGCCGTAGTCACATAAAACAAAACAAAACAAAACCATCTGTGATCAAGATACAAATATGGAAATCAGTATGTTGGTTTGACATCTAGAAAATTATCAATAAGAATTGCTGAGCATAAGTTATGTAGAACCTCTGTGCCAATTAATACAATAAGAGATAATGTAAATACTCCATAAAGCATTGATTGCTTGAAGCAAAGCTAAAATCATCTACAAACCCATGAACAAAAGAAGCCAAAAAAAAAAAAAAAAAAAAAAAAAGAAGAAGAAGAAGTGTTAGAAATCATTAAAAGATGTGTTGCAGCTTCCTTCCAGTTTGGCATATATCTGGATGTTGATTCTCAAGAATACAGCAACCCTACAGGAAATTGCAATAAAAGAAAGGAAAATTGGATTGAGCTATTCATTATGATTCCAGCTGATGAGCTGTCATATAAACCTCGTAACTTCATTAATGTTTAAATGCAGTTTTCAATATGTCAGCCTAGAATGACCTTAATAGATCAGTAATGCCAGATAATAATGCTGTCTTTAATTTTAAAAAATGTAATTTTTGTTTTTACTTTCATTATATAAGCTTACCATGCCAAGAGTTGCTGGAAAATTCATCTAAAAAGGTTTATAATAATATGTAGATGCAATTTCGTTTGTACAATAAAGATATGTTTAGCCTCTGGAGAAATGACAATCCATTTATGTGGATTTCTTAATTATCTTAATGGGCTGTGGTCTCAGTTAATTTTGTTTGTTGGAATTCTACTGTATTTTATGACAGCTGCCCATGTGGTGTAGTGATTAGTAATCCTGACTGCCATACTGATCAGCCTGGGTTTGAAATCAGGTGAAGGCATGGATGCTTGAAATGTTTGTACGTGTATAATGTCTGTGTGGCAAGGGAAGCACTCAAAAACCTCTTAAGTGGATGGTTTTAGGGGAAGAGGGATGAGGGACAATCGGACTCCCCCACCTTCTGTTGGTGTTCCATTAAAAATTAGTGGGAGAGAAGTATACAGTTAGTGTGGTGAAGCTATGTACAACTTATGATGAAATTCGGGTGTTTCGGCCACTTATTATGATCTGTTGTTTGTTATTCTGTGAAAGAAAATTTTAATCATAAAAAAAAGTTTCAGCTATAACAGTAAATTTATATCTTCGTTCCTAAAAAACAAAAGGTGCGTTATCGAGGATCAGTCAGGCTTACATCAAATGAAAATGCAGATCTTATGAGTATATTGTTGCATCAATCTTTTCCATAATTGGTGCTAAATCATGCTGTTTGGCGACAGTTTCATGGTCGATTGGATAATACATAAATATAAATAAAAATAAAATATAAAAAAATTTAATCCATTTTAAATTTATATTTCTCTTTGTATTGAATTTTAACATTTTCTGTTATAGACTTTTATCCGTAAAGTCTTTTTAACGTGCTATGGATATTTTCAGGGAGAATTTGTTGAAGATGGAACAGAAACACATTTTGCACTAGGTCCGTATCAAGCATACATTAAAGCTGTCAGTAGTGGAAACAAAAGGGAAGGAATAATACATACACTGATTGTTGGTGATACCATTATTCCAGAGAGTGCTGATTAATAAGGATGATCAAGTTATCCATTCATCCTTAAAGAAGATGATGACAGCAAATTATCATCCACCAGGTATGGTACTATAAATATTTATATTGCACAGCCTGCAGGTTATGGTCTTTCAAACTACTGTACAGTCTTAACAGTTGAATTACTTTTGTAAGCAGATTTAAAATTTAAAAGTCATTGTACACATATATTTTTAACGTTAGATCAAATGAAAAAAGTATATATTTTTGGCATTTTAACAAACTATGCAATGTAGCTGTTTTTTAACACAGGTTTTTTTAATTTAATGTAAAAAAGGATATCATTTAATGAATTCGTTAGATGTAGTTTAGTAAAAAAAAGAACTACTTTATTTTAAGTGTAATTTTAAAACAATAATAGAAAAGCCCACATTTTCAAATATAACTGAATAAAGCCTAATTTTGTATCTTCAGTCATTAGACTTGAAATGGAACCGTCCATTTATAATTTCTTTTGCCTAGGAATATTTTAATCTGATGCAGTATCAAATTTCACGAACAAACTTCATTTTAACTATATTTGATACATGATAAATACTCTGCATTTGACAAAATGCACATACTTTAGAATAACATATAAAATATATATGTGTACGTGTTAAAGAGTGCATGACACATAGTGCATATTAAACTTGAAATATTTTTAGCATCCATGTGTAATTAAGATGTGTCAAATGTAAAGTGTATTTTATTTTAGAGGTATAGCTTAATTCTGCCATTTAATGATTTTATTGTATAATAATAATGTATTCATTTAGTTCTTATTATATATGTTTCAATATAAATTCAGACTTTCATTTTTTTTTTTTTTCCAAACAAATGTGTTTAATTTACATTCTCAAACCGCAAGAAAGCAATAATTTTTGTTAAAAAATGTTGTACGTACTTCAGTGTCTGTAACTGTAATCAAGTAAGATTCATTTTTAATCGCAGAGAAAGGATATGCATCTGAGGAAATAAAGTAATTCATAATGTTCACCAAGCAAGTTATTCCAGTTTATTAATTTTAAGTTACCATCTGTTTCTTGATTGAAGGGACTGTAAGTGTTTCTAAATATATAGATTCCAAGTAAATTATACAGATATTTCTAGATATATTCTTGCATATCTTTGCAGTAATACTACTTTTTGAAATGTTTTCTATTTAAGAAATACATGACTTTAAATAGAAACTAACAAATAAAAGTAAATTTTCATAGTTAGTAAATAAGTATAAGCTGAATACTGTTTATTTTTATGCTGATAGTTAGTGGCGTATGAAAGCTAGTTTTTTGTGTATAAAGTAACTGCTGTATTGAGTTAATTGAGTTATATGAAAATATGCATATTTGTGCATTGCATCCAAGATCTCATTATATATTTGTGCTCACAATGATCAACTAAAATGTATTTATGAGTCTCAAAGCAAAATTTGTATTTAATTTTTTTATGATAGATATATCACGTGGAATTTTTTTTTCCTTATTCATATATTCAAGTATGTTTGTAAAAATAAATAAATAAATAAATAAATAAATAAAATTAATGCTGATAGATAATACTTTACTGATAGCTTTTTGTATGCACAATGCTTCAATGAGATATCTAATTCCTAGTTTTATTCAGTCTAAAGGTCATTAATGCAGTCATGATATAAAGTTGCACTTTTTTTCCTGTTTGTTAATCTAAAATAATCATTTATGATTATGATTATTATATTAATGTTAGCAGAAATTGTAGAGGTGTTCATGCTTAAAACTACTTAATATGATTCAAAATATTACTTAGGCTATAGTGCAGATGGACTGTGATTTGTAAGTAAGTCACATAGCAAACCATCTGCAGGAAGCTTGATTTGATAATTTTAAGATTTCTATAACATGACTTTACAGTATTGCTGCCTTATCTGCAGATAATATGTTCAAAGAGAAAGTAATGCTGGTGGTTGTCTTTTTGTCTGACGATTTTTCAAAATGAAAGCCTTTTGGGGGGGGGCTTTTATATTTCAAAAGTAGTACAGGATCATAATTAGAAAAAATTTTGATTTTATGTCAAAATATATCTATCAGTGAAGTCTTTAAGATGATGGATATTTAAATTTAAGACACAGTACTTTCAGCATACATGAAATCTCATTTTTTAAAATTCTTTTGTTGGTTTTTCACTATCATTAGCCAGATAGGTACAGCATGTCATGATCAGTTATACTGTAATTAGACAAAGAAATTGTTTATCTTGACATCTGAAAATAGTATTCTCATTAGGATATCAAGACAAACATTACATTATTATCTTATCAGAGGAGATATTAATTTTATAATTATTCTGGTATCAACCGTATAGTGGCTGTTATACTTTCAAGTGAAGTAGGGAGACCATTAATGAAAATTTAAAAGACAACAAAATCCAAGATAATAAGTCTTGTTTCAGATTTTGAATGATACAAAAATCATATTCACATTTAAAATAATTCCTTCAACTATATACAGTCAAAAGTCTTCAATCCAGACTCGTCGGGACTTCGGCGATTCCAGGTTATAGATCATCAATTTAAATCTGGTAAGATGGCATGCAGAAATTATACAATTAAAAATATGAAATCATAATTTATGAAATAAAGAACAATTATGATCTAAAGGGTATCAAAATTTACAAAAAAAAAAAAAAAGCTTAATAGTTATTTGTTTACTTTATTAAACATTTCTTTCAATGTAAGTTGTTTAAGATGCTTCATTTTTTGTACTAATACTTTCTCTTTAATTCTATTAACAGACATAATTTCTCTTTCATTTCCACTTGTTCAAGTCCGTAATAGCTGTGGACTCCCCGCAGAGCAGCGTGAAATTGATGAAACATATTTCAGGAATGATTAGAGAATCATAAGATATGCCTTTATTCCCATTTTTTGCAGCAATTCCACTTTTTGTTTGATGGACATCGAAAACATGCTTTCGCTTTGTTGTAGATCCTTTGGCAGCTCCAGAATCGGAAATTCTTTTTGACATAATCGAAAGTTCAACGCGTTACTTTTATAAAATTGCTCTAACAGTCTGCAAAAAATAATAAGCCGGATCCAATTAAAAGATTAAGGAACAACGCAATCTGCAACATTAACTGAAATAGATAATTAGATAATTTTAGCTTAGCTTATACAATCTGTTATACATTAAATGCGAATGCGTAAAGTTATCAACAATAATGCATTAATGCATACATAATGCGGTCTGGATTAAAGACTTTTGACTGTATAACATTATACTTCTTACATACTTTTCTTTAATATGTCGATTGTTTTAAATGAATCTATGTTGTCCTTTTCTGTAATGTCCAATCTTTTATTCTTTTATTTTTATGCATGTGTTTTTTTATACAACTTTTCCTCTATATTACTGCCGTCATTTTTAAAAAAAGTGAATCTAGTCAGAAATTACAAAATCTAGTCAGAGGTTTTAAAATCCATGAATTTTTTAGAGCTTATTAATATGTTGATATAATATTGTACCAATGTGAGAGAACAAACTAGTCATTTTGTAAAATTTTATTTGAACTATGTATTTATTCATTTCATCATCTACTTAAAATATTACATTGGTGAAAAAGTAATAGGAATAATTGAGATGTCATGAGATTTAACAGTGCTGAAGTACATTTCTTACTTTATTATTTATTTCATTGCTTATTTTTATTAATGCGAATATTCCTTTGATTGGAAAACATATACTTCATTTTTGAAAACAGAATGCAGCAGTGCTTTCTATCTTCTTCAATTTGTAATTAAGTTGTTATCCAAGAAAGGAAGCATTTTAAAGATATTGAAATCTGATGGTGAGTAATGAGATATGTTAGCCTGTATATTCCTAATATTTCATTATTGAAATAAGAGTTGGTAGAAGTAGCAAAACTGCTGTTTTATGGGATCAGACCAGAGCCATTTGCTCACTGAACTGAATTTTTTTTTATTTACTAAATAACTTTGAATAAGATCAAGAATAGGGAGTGAATCAAGAGTGGCATGCGAGGATGAAGATAAGAGCAGAAAGAACTGAACAAGGTGTTAAGATTGAAAGAATCAACTCAGTTGCACTGCTAACTAAATTGATTTCTTTCAGCTGTAGTTTTCAGATTCCCTAAAAACCTCTTTTACTACGTAGAAATAACAATAAAATTTTGCAGTTAAAAAGTTAGGAAATGATCTCTTCCCCCCCCCATATGGGAAGAGAAACATCCCTTTCTCAAATGAAAATCAAACTTTCTTGGTATCCAAAAGCTCTTGAGGGAACTACCACTTCACTCGCTCAGTAGAATCAGTGCTTTTAATCTGTTCCAAGAGCAGATTGCCCATCCCTACTTACCAGTGGTTAAAAACTGTTCAATACTGGTAGTTCATCTTGGGTCCAATCCCCAAGGGATAGGTTTGCTATGTGGTTGTTTTTCATGTGTGACAGAAGCAAGTTTCTCTCAGAAAGCCCTCAGCTGGTGCTCCCTGTTTGGACAGATATTGCTCAAAGATACTTAAGTGGTGTGATCAATCATATGTGCCTATTTTATAAGTGCATATGGCATTACCCAGTACAAAGAGTTAGTCACTGCCACTTATGCCAATTTATGAAGATGTTGTGAAAATCTGATCTGGGATTTGGGACTACATATAAGTTACTAATGGGATAAAATAAATATCCTTTCAGATTGTTGTTTTATAATTTAACATACTGAATTTCACAAATTCAAAATTTTCTATCTTTAACATTAATGGGTTAATATCTCATTTAAAATACAGCAACTGCTGCCCTGGATAGTATATTAGTTAATAAGCCCAGAACCATACATAGTTTTGCCATTCTTGACGAATGCTTTTTTACATGTGACAAAAGTACAGCAATTCTTTGAAGCATTTCATAGAATATAAACAACATTATTGAGAATTACTGAATGGACATCCTTAGACGAGCTTCTTTGCATTACCACATAGTAGTTCTCCAGAGAGAGTTTACCAAATCACAGATACTCCTATTTGCTGCTTTTCAGAAAATATTGTTTCTTGTTGAAATCATTCCAGGTAATAGTTCAGTTAAGTAAATCATATAAATAAAATTTAATCAGGATGTGGGATGGGACCAACTTTTTTATATTCTGATTTTTTCCCCTCCTTCAAAAAGCTGATAGGTGATTACCAATTTGATGTTATTTATAAGTTGCTGTTTAAATAATCAAACATCAGCTTCTTATTCTGCACTGCAAAACAAAAAGGGATATTAAATTTTTTAAAAACAGTTTTTGTTTCAAATGCGCTTCATTAATTCTTAAAGAGTTCCATAAGATCATCCAGAGAAAAATCAAATTATCTAAATGAAATCTGTGATTATGATAATAACGCTACTAATATACATTAAGTGATGGAAAGAATTCTAAATATTTCTCATGAATTTCAAAATATGATGTGTTTGTTTAGTTGAATGTAGCAAAATATACATATGGTAGTTAAAATAAGTGACACTATGAAAAAGTATAGGTACACACAATGGCTACAGTAATTTGTTTCATATATGAAGTCACGTTGTTATATTTTCATATTGCTTTTTCACCAGCTCAATGTTTCAAGACATTTAGTGAAAAAAAATGTATTTTGTTTCCAATCTAGAAAGTTTTATGGTGTGCAATTTTATTGCAATGCATTTTTCAAATGTACAAAACATTGCTCATTATATATGTCACTGCTAAATGTGTCTTCCTAATTAAGAAAGGAATCTCAGTTTTAATTTCAACATGCACAAGATAAATATTACATGTACTCATGATTGTAATTATGTTTCAGATTTTTTGCTATAGCTGTCAAATTTTTTTAATGCTAAAAATTTGTTGGATCTTCTTTTATTGTAATTATCAAAATATTTATGTTCACATGCAGGAGAAAAAGGTGGAACCCACAACTATTGGAAGCTAATGACATTTTAAATACATTATTTTATATTTGTTTTCAATCTACTTAAACCATCTGCATGCAGAAATTCTTAAAAATCTTACTAACAGTTTAACAAGAATATTTAATTTCACTAAAATTTCATCTGATCTGTTTTAAGAAATCACCTAAGGAAAAAAGACAATGTTAATTTCAAACATAATACTTTTGATGATTTTATTACAGCATAATCCAAATGGTAATTAATCTAAACTTAAAAAAAATTACTTGGAACTTCCATATATTCAGAATCTAAGAAGTTACTACCTTCCATAATCAGAATCTTCAGGAACAGCATTGAGCAAGCAAACTTATTGAAAGCATTAAAAGAAAGAGGTGATGGTAGTACATCATGTAATCAAAATAAAATACATGGCATGATAATGAACAAATTTTTCTGCTACTCAGATCTTGATGACAAATCCCAAACTATAAGTTTACCATCACATTTTCCCCTGAATTATGGGTTAAGCAGTTTAAGCATTAAACAATTTCCCATTTTTCCTCTCTTCACTAGTTGAGCTTCCTTGAATCAGAGTGATACTGCTAACATGACAAATCCAGTTATATGTGGAAATAGTAAGTCCAGTCCCTTTTTTTTTTGCAATGACTAGTGAATTGCTACAGATGATCATAACGATCTACTGGTTTAATCAAGCTGTAGGTTATTAACCATTGTCATCTATGAAGTTAGTTTGATACAGTACAAAGTCTTTAATCTGGACTCGTCGGGACTTCGGCGATTCCGGATTAGGGGGTTTTCCTGATTATAGATCATCAATAGATTTAAATTGATGATGCAGAAATTATAAAATTAAAACCGTAATTTATGAAATAAAGAGCAATTATGATTTAAAAGGCATCAAAATTTACAAAACAAAGCAAAAAAAAAAAAAAAAAAAAAAAAAGAGGAGGGGAAGCTTAATATTTATTTGTTCACTTTATTAAACATTTCTTTCAATGTAAGTTGTTTAAGTTGCTTTGTTTTTTGTGCTAATACTTTCTCTTTATAAGACATAGTTTCTTGTTCAGTTCCACTGTTTAAGTCCTGTAATTGCTGTGTCGAGAATAGCGACTAACATGTCAATTGAAATTTTTTCGTTTTTAATAACCTCTCTGTCACTTTCTTCACTATCGGAAGCGGTACATCGAAACATGCTTTCGCTTTGTAGATCCAAAATCATCCTTTGTAGATTTGGCAGCTCCAAAATCGGAAACTCTTTTTGACATAATCAAAAGTTCAAGCTTACTTTTTATAAAATTGCTCTAACAGTCTGAAAAAATGATAAGCCAGATCCAATTAGAAGATTAAGGAACAACGCAATCTGCAACATTAACTGAAATAGATAATTAGAGCCTAGCATATACTGTCCGTTATACATTAAACACGCATGCGAGAAAGATTGTAGCTTTGAGGTCCGGATTAAAGACTTTGTACTGTATATATTTTTTCGTTTGCCATTCATACCCTATTTTGAATTCAAAATTAAAGTAACTACTATAATATTTATTTTAAAATTATTACAACTTAAATATAAAATCTGTGAAATCATAGTGTTTTATGAGAAATGTAATTTTTTCAGCATATTATTTTAGAATTTACTTTTAAAATAAAAATAGCATGTTACCTATTCAATCTGATTATTTATATGTATATTTTTTAAAATCAGTGTGCAATGTGTTACTCTCAGAAAAGAATTTCCGGATTATGTACGTTTATATTAAAATATTGTTTTGGATTATATTAACATTGCAGTATGATTGCATTGCAGATTTTGTTATTTTTTAAATTCAGTAAAACCTTCCAGTACTGGACTGTCATAAGTCTATGGATTTTGCCCACTAAATGAAAGTTATTTATTCAGAGGAGTTACTTAAATTAGGAAAAATATTTTAACTATAATTTTTTTATATCATGAATGATTAATGTTACTATTTTATATTGTTGGAATGATAGACATGTTACAACAAAAAATAATTGGCAATATGTACTTTCTTAGCAATCCATACAAATTTCATCTTCAATGGACATGCTTCATTACATATGTATATATTTAATACAAGAGCAACTTCTGGAATTTATATTATGTATCATCGTAATGAAAAAAATAGTAAAATAAAAATTTGCTTTTTTAGAGCAAAATTAAATTTAAAATAAAAAGATATAATCATTTACTTAAATTCTTACTTCACAATTACATTTCTCCAAGAGTTTTTAATTTAGTAAAAGATTAATTTTTTGTCTCGATATCTATCGCTTTCAGAATTCGTTATTGAATGATGCATACTCATTATCATACATACTACTTTTGTTTTTGCTAATTAAGTAAAATCTGATCACATATTTGCCATGTGAGTGAGGGGACTGTTTCATATATTTGACCTAAGTATATTGCTGATGACTTCCTATCAGAATATCTCAAGTATGTTAATCAGATGTTCTAACAGTGTGGCCATTCTATGTATATATAATAATTTGGAAACAAAACTAATGATCCTATAAATACAGCAAGAACTGTACGGTTTTATCACAACATAGATATATACAAAACAAGTCCATAGTTTGCAGTATTTTTATTTGATATATGAAACACCAACAAAATTGTAATATTTTGTTAATTTAAATTTTCAAATAAAAGAAATTAGTTTTGCATCATTATGAGAGATGTATTAAATATAGATAGATCTTGATTCTATAAATACTGTAGGGGATTGAAACAACTGCAGAGAATTGGATTTGCTGAAATTTATGAATAACATCCCTTTCAGTCATTATAAATCAGCACTGTATAAAAGTATTTCAAAATTCTAAACAATATTTATATTGTTAATAAAAGGAATTTTCAATGTCATATATTACATATTTTAATTACAGCATTCTCTTTAATTATTTACTGTTAAAAGGAATTGTAAAGTATTTATATAAGTTTTCATATCAAAAAACATCCTTTGTCATCAGTTCTTGGTTGTTTCAAATTCTAATCATCACAATGTACTGCACATATATAACAAATTAATACAAAATGATAATGAATTATTAAAAGTTTATTTATCTGACAAACTGTTGTATATACATATATTAATTTATACACAGGAAGGAAAATAAAAAGCTAACAGATTCTTAGATTTGATGAAGTAATTTTTGAAATTAGGATTAATGATAAAACATTGTTGAAAGATAAGTCAACTTTTGATACCAGAAGCAGACTAGAGATAAATTGCTGGTCTGGTCTAATTGCTATTATGGTTATAAAACATATTAGTTACATATAAATAAACCAATTCATTTGGATCTAGATATAACATTTTCAATTAAGACATATGCTGAATTAAACTTCTGATAATTTGATAATAATATTACACTAGCTCCTAAAATCCACAGTAAGAAAAAATATATTTTTCAAATTTGTTTTATTAAAAACTTAAAATTTGTTTAATGTATTTAAATTTTTCCATAAATTTTGATTTATTCTGGATGTTTCAATTATACATATATAGGGAAAAGGAATTGAGAAAAATCTTAAAAAATGAATCTTATCTAAACCAAAAAAATAAGTTCTAGCAGCAAATACTGTAATTGTATTAAATACTAAAATTATATACTTCCAAAACTTTTTCCTCAAATTTTCTATTATGTTTTGTAAAACTTTGGAAGATTATAATTTTAGTATTAATTTAATTACTATCGTTTTATATATATATAGTCCTCTATTTAGAATTAAACAATTTTGCCTGCACAGAAAACATATATATATAAAAAAAAAAAAAAAAAAAAAAACTTTCAAAAATAAATAATACACATTTTTAAGCAATGGTTTACTCATTATGCATGAAGTTACAGAAAATATATAATTTTAAGTTATGATTGGTGAATAATTAGCAATGTTTCTTCTTAAAGCAACTGATACAGAAAGAAATTTACACTAATAAATGCAATTTTGTATCATTAAAATGAAATGCATTTCATAATTTTAAATATTAAGAAATATTCATTTTCAAGCTTTTTTAAAGTTTGATTACTTCAAACATATCACTATTTGTCACCTTGTTAAGTCATCATTGTTGTGTCAAATGATTAAAGAACCCTTTAAGAAAGGTAAAGTCATCTAATACTATTCTGGTTTACATTCAGAATGAGATCCTAACAACCATGAATGTATGAGAAAGAAATGATTTATAAATACAAATGAAAAACAATTTACAGTAGTATATTACAGTTACAAATTGTAATCTGCTCAAAAGAAATAAGAAATGCTATAAATAGGAGTTCTAATACAGATCTATTTCTTGCTAATATGCAGTAGAAGCTAGCTTTGAGGTATTGTAGTTATGGAAGAACTTTTTTCCATATTCGTAAGAGCTAATCATTATAGCACAGGCAGTTGATACTTTAAATAGCCGAGGAACAACACCTAAAAATAAAAACAAGTTGTAAATTTATATAAGATTCATTTCATTATCTCAAAAGAGAACTAATAATTTGATAAATCCTCTCCTCTTATTTTAACTCTTTTCAATATAATAACTGCAGCAGACTTCCTATCTAGAAAAATGTCAAAATGGCAGAGATTAATTATGCTGTAAAATGAAAAATAAATTAGAGAACGCTCTTTTTTTTTTTTTTGTTGTTGTTGTTGTTGTTGTTGTTTAAGAAAGTACAAGTAAAATTTACTAAAAGAAATATCAATTCTTGGATCTTGATCTTTATTTTCTCAATATAAATACCGTAATTTTGAGTAGATAAGCCGCCCTTGGCTTATACGCCGCACACAGGATAATTGACTGGGAAAAAATAAAAGGTCACTGAATAAGCCGCATCTCCACATACGCCGCAGCCAAGCATTCCGAAGCATGGCAATTAATATTCATTCGTTCAGTAATTCCCTGTCCATACTTGCCAACCTATGACACTCAAAAATCAGGAGCTTTTTTAAGAAATCAGGAGATTTTTCACAATGTTAAAAAGACTTTTTAAATGATAAAAATATAGTTTTTAATAATGAATTCACTTTAAATAGTTACTAAGTCTTAAATGCAAGCAAAACAAAAATACCTTAGACATAAAAACATTTTTATTACTTTCATCATTTAAAAAGAAGAAGGGGAAAAAAAAAAAAAAAAAACGCATTTTAATTAATTTTCATACAAATGTTATGGACAGTGGCAGATTTTGCTCTCGTTAAGAAAGAAACTTCATAATTTTGTTCATAGCAATTGCCACGTAGGCCTGCTTTCGCTAATAAAAGTTTTTCTATAATAAAAGTTTTTCTAATGTGTCATCACTAATATTAGATCTAAATTTAGTCCTCGTTTTCGCAACAACACTGAAAATCCTCTCACACTCTGCATTACTATGGGGAACTGTCAAGATGGCCAACACAATTCTAGAGAGTTCACTATATTTTAAAATTCCATCAGCACCTTTCAATTTTCCAATTAACCTCCACTGGGTGTCAATCCTAGCTGATTTTATAACTTCATCCAAGTTTTCTAATGTAACTGCAAATTGCAACTGCAGATATCAGTAGCAACATCATATCATCATCTTTCATGACTAAAACGAAGTAACACAGGAAATCTGTTCAAAAGTACCTTATATCAAAAAAAAATGCATTTGCTAGAGCAGAAAACATCAGCAACTTTAGCATGCAAATCACTTCATCGTGACTGGAAATTTATGTAGTGTGAATCACATACTCGGAAGAAGAATAACTTCTAACATGAAGATAAAACTTATTTTTGTCTTCTTCTGAAAAGTTCTCACTGCTTTGTAGTTGCAGCTCCTATTACCAAATCTTCATCTTCCTTCTGATTTCGTTTCACCATAAATCACATCATATATAGAATTACAAGACAAAACACAACTGGTTTTACAAACTTGATAAAATGTCTTTAACAGATCATAAATCATTGATTGCAAAACATAATTAATGGAATTCGGCTTTGTAGAATTGTGTCAGAACATCGAATGATGGCAAAATGAATTGTAAAAAAAAAAAGCAAAAAGCTTTGTTAAGGTCCGAAGAAAAAACATAAATATTCTTTTTCACAAGATAAACTTACAGTAATCAGAAATGTTTCGTGTATTGAGCAATTTGTTTTTTTTTATTTTGAGAGAAATTTGTTCAGCTTTACCTTATATTTGCAGTATATTTTGAGAACTGCCAGTTGAATGCTAAATGATGCAGAAATTACAAAAAATCAAAATTTTTCTCATTCAGTATCATGCAGCGTTGGACTGTTTCAATTTTTCCTTTCTTTTAGAACTCCTTTCAAGAAAAATAATATCAACAATGCGTTCATCCACATTTAATGGGAAAGAAGCTGCCCCTTTTTCAGCTGCTAAATTTAAGAGGTGACGTGCACCTCATAATCTGCAAATCTGAATTTGCCTTTCTTAAGATGCCTGCAACACCAGTCTTCCAGCTACCGTACTGGTGCATTATCGGCACCAAGCGCTAAGCAATTCCGAGGGATAGCATTTTATTTTAAAGTTTAATAATGCTGTGCTATATTAAGCCTGTCGAATGTCCTAAAGTGGGGACAGAAAGTAAACTGCACTCAATTTCTGAAGACTCTGGATTAAAAAAAGAAAAACACAATTGGATACAGTTTTGAATTGGTATTATTGCTTCCATCTGTAGAGAGGCAGAACGGAGCTGTTTTAATGCAATCAATAACTGAGATTATTTTTCAACCCATTTCTTTAACAATTGCCCCTGTTTTGGTCCTTGCACTTGAGTATTTCTTAGCGATTTCACTATCGGGAAACATTTTTCTAAATAAAGCTGCTGCAGCGTGATCCGATGCATTCAGTGGCCAGGTTGTGCTCCAGTAAAAAGGCAGAGAACAGACATTCTGCATTAATCACTTTTTGGTCTTTTGTTTTCGAAAAAAATATAATTTTTCGTTTTTTCAAAACAACTCATGTTCCTGTTTTTGGTGTACGCACATGTTTGAGACATCTGCCCTTCCACCAAGCGAAACGAAAAATCGCACGACAGATGGTACACCTTGCAATTTATTACATTCCTTGAAGAATAATGGAAGGAAAGTCAACTGTGTACGATTTTTGAAACGTGCACGAGTATTTCACCTTTCTCGCAGACACAACAAAAGACGATAATTTCTAAAACTCTCTCCCAAAGGCACGTGCACTCACACAACTCAGGACAAGATGAACGAAATAACGAAAGAACATCGAAATAACGGCCCAACGGCCAAAGAATTTTCTTTGCAATGGCCTTGAGCTTGCTTTGTGCTCATTGGCGAATATATGCCAGATGATACGCAGTGGAGCTCGATGCCCATTGGAGAACTGGATAACGACGTTTCTGGATACGTATGCTGTCACTCACAAAGCAGAAATTCTCACCTGATTCGCAAGGTTTTATTTTAGATATAATCCGATAAATTCAGTTGCTTTCAGATGTCCAAATCACTTTTTTTTTTTTTTGTTTTGTTTGTTTGTTTGTTTGTTTGTTCATATAACGAAGTATTAAGCCAAGTTCCATTAAAATCGTGAGAAATATATTGTAAATCGGGTTGGCGGGAGAGCGGTCGAAAATCGGGAGAGTTGGCAACTCTGCCTGTCATATTAGTGTAATCATCATTGATAACATTTACAACATAAACATAATCAGTAATACATAAATAAAGAAGAAACACCTTACCTTGAACTTGCCGAAACCAAACTCTGATGATTTCAAATATATTATTTTTACGTTTTCGATAAACTCCGTTTATCAGCATAAATTACCACATTGTAAAAAGAATACATAAATTAGATAAACAAACAGAATTTTCTAAATTAAACTACATTTACTTATACAAAACCTTCAAAATCCGACTCATCGATGTCTGATTTAAATAAATTTAATAAACAACCATCAAGGTCAGTTTCTCTAAATCACTTCTTTCAACATCACTATCTTCACTTTCATTTTCTTTTTCAATGATTTTCAATTTAATGAAAGCTGATACCATTGTATCAGCTTCGACTGATTGCCATGCTTTATCGACCCATAAGGCGGCAGCCTCCTCATACGAAGCTTTTCTCATCCGTCCGGAATTCATGAAGGAATGGAGTCTGCTTTGTATCCATTCCTCCCACTGCTTTCGTAGTTCGTGCTTGAAAGTTCTATTGATAGTGGGACCTAGCGGTTGTAAAATTTTTGTAAGCCCACCTGGTATCACTGTGACATCGGTGTTAATTTTTTTTTTTTTTTTTTGCTTCAGATCTTACCGTATCCGCTAAATCAGATCACATTGAATCCAGAACAACGAGTCCTCGGAGTTGGGAAAAAAGCACATTTTCTTTTTCAATAAATTTCTCTCAGCCAAAACAACATCACTTCTTTGCACATCCATCCTTTTTAGCTGGCGAAAATAATAACTCCTTTTGGGAAGTTTCCTTTCATAATTGTTTTTCTTTTGAAAATTATCAAAGGAGTTAACTTTTCTCCATTGGCGACACAACCCAAAACACAAGTAAAAGAAGTCTTTTTCCCCCATTGAAGGAACAGTTCTGGTCAGAGGACAGTTAAAAGTAACGGGCACTTCGTTCATATTAATTATTTGCCTTCTTTTCAAATTTTGTTCTTTAATTTTCTTAGATGTGTATTCAAAAAAGCTCTTTTTTTCAAGCCAGTCCACTGGAAGCTTTTGTCCAACTGTTGTTTTGGTCTGGACGAAAAATTTCTTTCGCTTCATGAACCTGAAACACCAATTAGGTCCTCCAACAAAATTCTTAATGCCCATTTGTTGAGCAATTACCTTTGCTTGAAGGCGAATTCTAACTGTTGATACTGATAATCCACTTTCTCTCTGCTCTATTGTCCATTTCTCTAAATTGTCTTCCAAAACAGGCCAAGCTATGACCAGTTCGACAAGATCTTTTATTCTTAGGCATTTTCTCCAATTCTTCCTGTTGCTTCCACCGCCAAATACATCGCTCGTCAACTTGAAATTCTTTAGCTGCAGCACGATTTCCAATTTCGATGGCTTTCTTCACTGCCCAAAGCTTAAAAGCAGCTGCATAACTTTTTCTTCGAATAGGAGCCATAACAATATTTTTTAAAGCGCAAATGATAAGGCAAACAAAAGCAACTACAAAGCAGTAAAAAAAGGTATGAATGAAACAGCACTTGGCAAGTAAATGTAGCTGTTGCCAGTAAAACAAAAAGTCATACTAAAACGTGCAAAAAAACATGGAGTTTGGGAGGAAGTACATGCATTACAGTGTCTTTACAGAGAGTGCCACCTACCTTAGGGGAGTTTGGACTCATTGCACAGCCTTAGCGCAATCTGAGATTAGAATATTGTAGCGAATTCTTATCACCTCGCTTCTGCGATCTGAATTAGCGAAGTTTTAAGGACAGAAGAAAAATTAAATTCCCTCAGATACGCCGCCAACCTAAATTTTCAACTTTTAAACACATTAAGCCGCGGCTTATCTACCCAAAATTACGATACACCTTTCTGCCCCTCCACTCCCAAACTGACACTGAAATCAAAGCTATTGCAGCAGAGGTATATTCAAGATTTAACACAAATAAATACTAAACATGAAACATTTTCGCGAAATGCTAAGTCATATTATTATTCGATTGATTTTGGTACTTGCATTTCATTCACACATAATAATACATATAATAATATATATAATTTAATATAAGAAGTTATTAAATTTTTTTGTAAAATAAATTACTTCTCAACTCATTATCATAGCATACGAAACAAACAATTTCTAAAGTATGAAAGGGGTTGGGGGTAAATAGATTTAGAAAACTAAGCAAGGAATAAATAAATTAGCTGCCAACTCTATTTTTTTTAATACATTAGCAGGAAAAACATCTTGATTGGATTGTACGCAATGCCAATAGAATTAACAAACTTCATTACATTTTCTATAGTTTTTAATAATGAATTAACTTTAATGCCAAATGCAAGCAACACATAATTACATCGTTTAAGAAAAGTTATGAAAATGGGATTTTGCTTCGGGTGAAGAAAGAAACTTCATAATTTTTTTTCATAGCAATTGCCACATAGGCCCTTCGCTAATAAAAAAGTTTTCTAATGCGCATCACTAATATTATTTATGCAGCTGTTGGAACTATTCATTCCCTCCTTTTAGAACTCAAAAATAAGAAGCTGCCCCCTTTTCAGCTGCTAAATTTAAAGATGACAGGTGCACCTCATAATCTGCAAATCGAATTTTCCTTTCTTAAGATGCTGCAAACCCAGTCTTCAAGCCTATCATACTGGTGCATTATCGGCACCAACTGTTAGCAACTATCCAGAGGGACTGCATTTTCTTTTAAAGTTTTAATGACTCTAGTGTGGAATTGGGTGCCCCTTCGATTAACGCCAATTTTTAAAATTTGGTGAGAACCTCACTTCTGGTTACCATGATAGTTTTAACTGTGTTTTTTTTAGCTTCCTGATTTTATTTAAATGAAGATAGATTGATGTGTACATGGGCAAATTTAAGGCAGTGCACAATGTCTAGTTTGTGCAATTCTAGGATTTTTTTTAAGTGAAAACATATCGATTTGTACATAGACACAGAGTTTGTGCAATTCTTTGACTTCTTATTTTGGTTTTGTGTAGCGGCCATCTTGAAATTGGGCCTTCCTGGTGCCAAAAAACAAGGGGCACCCAATTGTAAATTTTTACCATTTTAATAATTAGCTGTGCTATATTTAAAGCCTGTCGAATGTACCTAAAGGGGGACAGAAAGTAAACTTCACTCAATTTGAAGACTCTGGATTAAAAAAAAAACCAATGGATACAGTTTTGAACTGGTATTTGCTTCCTCCTTAGAGAGGCAGAACGGAGCGTTTTAATGCAATCAATAACTGAAGATTTATTTTTCAAACCTTTCTTTAACAATTGCACCGTTTGGTTCTTGCACTTGAATATTTCTTAGCGATTTCACTATCAGGAAACATTTTTCTAAATAAAAAGTGCAGCGTGATCGATGCATTCAGTGGCAAGTTGTGCTCCAGTAAAAGCAGAGAACAGAATTCTGCATTATACTTTAATTCTCTGTTTCCAAAGAAAAATTTAATTTTTCGTTTTTTTCAAAACAACTCATGTTGTCCTTGGGTTTTTGTGTACACACATGTTTGAGAACATCCGCCCTTCCACCATGTGAAATCAAAAAATCGCAACGACAGACGGTACGCATCGCAAATTTATTACATTTCCTCGTAGAAATAATGGAAGGAAAGTCAACTGTGTACGATTTTTGAAACGTACACGAGTATTTCACAATTTCTTGCAGACATAACAAAAGATGATAATTTCTAAAACTATTTCCTGGAGGCACATGTAAGGACAAGATGTAATAACTCAGGACAAGAATGAACGAAATAACTAAAGAACATACAAATAACAGCCTTGAGTTTGCTTTGTACTCACTGGCTGATATATGCCAGATCACACGCAGTGGAGCTCAATGCCCATTGGAGAACTGGAGAACGACATTTCTGGATACGTATGCTCTCATTCACAAAGCAAAAATTCTCATCTGATTCGTAAGGTTTTGTTTTAGATATAATCTAGATAAAATTCAGTTGCTTTCAGATGTCCAAAATCACTTTTTTTTTTTGTTCATACAACGAATTATTAAGCCAAGTTCCATAAAAATCGTGAGAAATTTTAAGAATAAGAAAAAGTCGGGAGAAATATATTGTAAATCGGGTTGGTGGGAGAATGGTCGAAAATCGGTAGTCTCCCACCTAAATCGGGACAGTTGGCTACTATGTTATAGCTTTTATAGCAATTAATATTTTCATGTCAATGCATATGTATATTAGTATTGGAAAAAATAAAATAATGATACTAAATAAGATAAATATATTAAATTAAGGCAGATGCGAAAAACATAAATTTTGCATCATTAAAAGTTAATGATGTGAAAAAGATATACAAATTATGCTCAAATTGAAATAAAAGATATTGAGATTAAGCTTACAGAATATATTACATAACTTACCAGCAAAGAGAGCTCTGTATCCATTGGACTGATATAATGTTTTCAAAAGTAAATATGTGGAAGTAGAACGTTGACCTAAAAAAATATTAAATGAATTAAAAATGTGTACCAAGAGAACTTTTATCTTATACATGGTCACTGAAAAACCATGAAAATGCGGTAAGGCAAAATACCATGTCATCAAAAAGTATTTTGTGGCAACCTAGATTTTTAGGGACTGATAATATATATATATATATATACTTCCCAAAGCATTACTATTATAACTATAATAGGAGTTGTTTTCTCTACTGAAGATTGAGATTAGAATCTGTCTAATCCGGATTAAAAAAGTCTTTTTTGCAGGTAAACAAAAGAAAGAAATCTATTTAATGATATTCTAAAATAAATTCAGGTATTTTATAATTATTAGCAGCATACATAAGCAAAAAATATGTGCATTAAATTCGTGATGGTATGTCATCATTGCTAATTAATTTCAGGATTATCCAGAGAACATTTTCTGAAATTTGGAAGTGTTATTTACTAATAATAAAAAATTTAGAGGAAAGAAGCACATTAAATGATACGAATAACAAAAATACAGATATTACTTAAAAATTGAATTAGAATAATCAACAATATTTAGCGAATATAGTATATTAAATGGTTAGCCTAATGATTGATTAATTTTTAAATTTCTGCAAAATGACAAATAAGGCATTTATTTAAAAAAAAAAAAAAAAAAAAAAAAAAAAAAAAACAGGTTTAAAACAACATTTTGGGGTAAAATTCTAGTGTACGGTAAGCACGATTTTGAAAATTATCGCAAACACCAAAATGACCCGTTTTACTGCTCATCATAATGTCACCAAATCCTGTGTGTACCGTACATGGAGGTTAGAGCAGAATACATGGAGATTATTCTAACCAAAGAACGTCTATATAAAGAAGGAAAGGTTCCATAGACGTAATGCTATTACGCTGCTAGAAAGTGGAAGGAAAATTTCCCAAGGGATTTGGCGACGAAAACTGGCCGCCAGAATTTCCCTTTCCACGATGTGTACAGGAAATTAAGGAACTGTTGTTAAGAAGAAACGTTCTTTGACAAAACATTCTTTTTTTCGATTTTTTGCAATAATTTAAACACAGATTTTTGTAGGGTTTTTTCCCCCTCAAAATAACTAATCCATTAATGAATTTACTTGCACGAAAAAATATTTTCTTTTTCTTTAAAGAAATTTTAAACGATATTAATTTTACGAACTCTTGATAAAGTGACCTTCGAGCTTTGGTGACAGATATTTCGCGCGCAGCTGTTTCCCTCTATATTGGAACAGAGACACTACTGTTGCAGAGAAGTTTTTCCTTCTTAACAATACATATTCTTTGATTCTAACCTCCATAGTACCATATACTAGGATTAAACCAATTTTGTTTTATATGAGAATAAGTATTTTGTTTAGTTCAACATGCACTGCACATGTACATGCGATTCTCAAGGTTACTGGAAAGCAAAGCTGCTGGAAACTTGCTTTGCCTTTCTAAATGACAATCTAATTGGAGCTGAGAAAATTGGCTCCGTGCCAGCTGCCCGAATGACACTCACGAGATACACAATTCGCCAAGAAAGTGATCGCTTCCAACATCGGCGCAAAACTCGCATTTGGGGGGGGGGAGAGGAGTCGCTGTATGAAATTCCCTGACTTTTCCAGATTTTGACTAAAATATTTTTAATTCCTCGACTTTTCTATGAATTTCTTGGTCAATTTTTGAATTCCTTGACTTTTTCCGGTTTTCCAGGTAGTGTGGCAACGCTGTGTAATGGCCAAGATCATGTATGATGCTAAATTTGTACAATCATCACTGAAATAGGTGTTGAGACATAGAAAGACTTCTTTCCAAAGTTGCAAACAAGTTTGTGACATTTCAACAGAAATTCAAATAAATAAAGTACAAAATTTTTTTTAAATAACACAACACAGTACTTTATAATTTACGATCAAGGTCTTAAAACTAACAAAAAAAAAAAAAAAAAAAAAAAAAAAAAAGCAGTAAATATTTTGACATTAAGAACAATAAAGTCAAAAACATCAGTCTGAGTGCTAGGTTGAATCGCATGATGCAGATTAATATAATCAAAAGAATAAGGTAAGGAAAATCTGCAAAAATTAATTAAAAAAACTGGAAAAACACTTTTCCTTCAAAACAGAAAACTTTCATTACTCTCAGGTAATGCATCAAATCACAATTAACAACTAAACATTACCCTATGAAATATACACTGATGAGCCAAAACATTATGACCATCTACATATATTTCAATGAACTCATCTGCATGACATGAAGGGCATGATTCCATAGGGATGGATGGGAGTCCATAAGGAATTGTCCTCGGGCAGTGGTGCCTTACCTTTGGCCTCTCGCGAGAACATTTCCAAAACATCAACATTTTTGTTAAACATGTTTCTAATCTCATGTGATACATCTGAAATATTAATTCCGGCAGATGGGTTTGAGATGAATAATAATATTGGGTGAATTTTATGGAAATCAGAGAAGCGGAATTCATAATTATTTTTCAGTGTATTTAGGTTTTTTGAGAATTTATCTGTTTCAATTACTAATATGGCTTGATAAATTCTGAAAATGGGTGAATTTTTTTTTTCTTTCATCTGATTTAACACAAATTTAACTTTATTTGAAAAGCAGTTAGAGTCCCAGTCAAATAGGGTTTTTTTTCTTTTCCCTGGAGATCTTTGTTCAGTTTAGCTGTTATATCCATGAGAAAATACACATCGGATAACCAATTATTATCATCCAATTTCTTTCTAACTTTCATTTCCGGATTCCCAAAACTGCTTTTACTGGAGAAAGAAGTTCTCCAAATCGTTGAAGTACTTTTTCCCTGCTGAGCCATTTAACATCGGAATGAAGCAATAAGATTCCATGCTCGCTATCAAGTTCATCAGTCGCGCAATCAATTATTTTATAATGTCTTGCAAGATAACTCTTATGACTATAAATGCTTATCATATTTTAACAATTAAGAAATATGAACAAATGGTTATTTTAAAATATTTTTTGTTCATAGTACCTAATCGGACTGGCGAGCACATACAAAACAATCGGCCAGCACAAGACTGGGCACCGCTGCCCTATAGGATGGTGGTTTTGTGCCATTAAGCCTAACTAACAAAAGTTTGCATTCTAACGTCATAATTTTTGGTACTACTTCAGATTATTACTTAAGCTATAATGCTGTTAAAATGAGTATTTAATAACTTTTCCCTTTACATGAAAATATGTAAAACAAATTGCTTCTTTGAGAAATAATTTTCGGAAGTGCTATTCAAATTATTTCAAAATTTTAATCGAAAAAATACATTAATAAACTTTAAAATTAATCAAAAAATACAAGAAAGACTTTTTACAAAAAGGAAGTAACAAAATCTTTCACCGAAAGTGGAAAGCCGAAACTCAGTGAACTCAGTCTCTGATAAAGTGCCTGTATGATAAACACTAGAAATATTACTCTCTAACTCTTTAGAAAATAAATGAATCATCATTCTCACCCATGCAAGTATATCCTTCTTTTGATAAATAATGATGTCTCCTCATAATAAACTGAAGTGAAGGCTTTCAGAAATAAAAAGGGAAGTGCACAAAATATAAGCTATAAAAGCAATGCAAAGTGTAATTTAACTCCACATAGTAACCCTATAATACCTTACATAGTAGGGGTGGAAAGATGCGCAGGATATCAGAAACATAAATGTTTATATCATGTGGTGAATAAAGAGCAGAGATCTGTTTGTTTACAATTACACTTTGACTCTTTCCCCATAACAGCTGATGCAGAATGTGATCAAACTGAAGGTCAGATTCTAAAACTTTCAGTTAAAAAATAATGAACACAGGAGTGGTTTTTTAGAACATATTCCAGCTTAAAATGCATTGGCTATCTCCAGTGATGTGTGGGTGGGACGCTCGGTCATGAGAGACATTCATACGGAATACATATAAATTCTAAAATACAAATTTCAGAATTTTTTCCCTTTTGATATGTTGATAATGTTTACGTATCATTAACTTGCATTCCATGAGCAATGTTAATTTTGCATCTGTAAAAGAATGCCAAATTACACCAAGGTGGTCATGTTAATATGTAAGTATCGAATTTATTCAGCAAAGGAATGCGTTCATTCTTTTTAAACTATTTTTAATTAAATGAGCATTGCTGATTTTGCATCATAATATTCATCTCTGATGTTGCACGACTGAAGATTATCTATTAATTGCTCGAACAGGTGAAATGGTATTTAATGTTGTTAGGTCCCTGCTCAATCTTCAAGAAATTTTAATCATAAACTCACTCTTGTAATTCACAGATAGCGGGAAGGTGTTTAATTTTGCTAGAAATAAATACTGAATAAATTCGAAATTATCAGAAGCATGAGGTGTATAGGTCTTTTGGGACACCTTGATTTAAAACCCAATATTCACCATTCATAAACATAATAACAGCCATTATCAAATTACTTGTAGTATGTCAGGTGTAAGATGTGAAAAAAAGACATGATCACGTTATCAAATAATGGATGCTAATGCTCCAAAATAGTGAGGTAGTTTTACGAAAAGCTCACAGTGAGAAAATAGAGAATCTAACAAATCCAAAGAACACATAAGTTTCCGTGATGTATTTGCTGACAGTGAAAATCTATAATTAACTGAATCTTTGAGTGAACATTAGCTAAGATACTTTTCAGAACTAACTCATAAGCTATTTTTCACATCCTCTTAGCTTTTCAAATGAACACATAGGCAACAATAAAAGTTCTCCAAGATGACAAAAACAGATCCCTATTCATTGTTCAAATATGCCATAAAACTTGACTAACTGTATATGAACATTATGTTGCTAAAAAGATGGTCCTTCCAATAGCACTGACACTACATAAGATCACAGACTGTAAAAAATGTATCACTGGGCCATTAATATACTGCAAAGGATTACTTACAAGTAATCAGGTATCATAGAAAAGGCTTTTCAAACAGTAAAGCTAAGTGTGATGGACATGCAGAGTGATTTTGGACCCTGTGTATGCTAGACCTCTTCCAAACACAAACTATCTGGTCATCTTAGCCAAGCAAAAACCATGGTTCCTGGTGCATGCCAAGCTTTTTAGCATGACATCTGAGTACACACTGCTATTGAAACACAGCAGATAATTATTAAGGCTATAATAGGCAGCAGTTTCTGCTTTCCTAACAACACTGCTGCATAATACCGCACATTTTGAGATGCATATATGCGGTTCTGTATGGCAGATAGTGAAATATCAGAACACTTATCACTACTGCACAATCTTTGGGCCACTCCCAATGATAGTTAATGACATACCTTATTGATGCCATATGCCATAGGCATCAGCATCATCTGACTATGCAATTATACTTACTCTCATGCTGGGGAATTTATTGGTACAGCTTAACAAAGATGTGATGTCTTTGAAATTTATTTAACTGGTTGTAGTATTATTGAATAGTTTTTAGAGGCATTATTGCTTGCTTATGCAAACACCACTTTACAAAAGCAATCTGTATAAACATATAATATATTAAATATATATTCTAGATGCAAATTTTCCATATGATTTAGACCTGCTTTGTTTTTAAAATAGACATGATTAAAGTAATATGATATAATGCATACGTGTTAAGGATTCCATTTCTCCAAGTTCTATTTGGCGATGAGTTTTTATGACATCAAAAGGAACTGTAAGAAGAGCAGCAACCTAAGGAAAGAAACAAAAATTCCTTAAATCAACAAAGAATGTAGGACTATATTATATTGATGTTGCCTTAATTTCTAGTGATTGTGCTGTAAAATTGTAGACATTTTTTTTATTAAAGTTGACTCCTGATTTATTTGCTTCAACAGGATTTGACTTGACTTGACTTGACAATAGATTATTACAGATAGTTAATAAACCCAAAAAAGCATACAAAACAGCATTTATATGTTGTATCTTAGCAAGAAAAAAAGAATGAAAATGAACTTTTTTGTAGCATGAGGTTGACATACGCTAGTTATCATAAATTAAGGAAAAATCACAAAAATCACGATTACTGAAAAAGTTACATGTAGAATTTTATGAAACTTACCCACAATATACAACACATAGTAAGGTATCAAATAATATAAAAAGAAATTACCAGACAATTATAGTAGTATAGAGATTAACACATGTATAAAATGAACAAATCGAAGGTCTCAGTTTGCTATAGGAACCTTCAATATGGAACCTATATATGGAACAACCTATACCTTCAATATGGAATATGATCGCCTCTACAGCACATAGTGATGTTTTCAATTATACCGTCTATCAGTTCCATAGGAAGCGAGAGCCATTGCTCTTGCAAAGCAGTTGCAAGTATGGCAAGGGTCTGAGGGGGTAGATTGAGAGCAGCTAGACGTCTCCCTAAAGCATCCCAAACATGCTTGCAAGTCCGGGGATTCAGCAGGCTACTCACTCCATGCACATAATTGTTAACAGTTGAAGATAATCATCTACGATGCGAGCCTGTGTGGTCTTGCGTTGTTGTATTGTAACAGGAAAGCATCACCTATTGTTCTGGCATATGGGTGCACATAAGCATCAAGGATGTCATCTCTATAAACCTGAGCATTCTTAGTTCCCCTTGGAAAGACACAGAGGTCTGTACATCCACCCAAAGAGATGCCCCCTAAGCACAGACACTGCCTCTTCCGTATGTATCTCTTTGACATGTGTTTGACGGATGATAATGGGTTCCAGGTTCTCTCCGTATCAAATAACGTCTACTATCGCTTTCTAGACTAAACCTGGACTTATCAGTACAGAGAACAGCCCTCCATTGATCAAGTGTCCAGTGGACATGTTGTCATGCCCACTGCAACGGTCCCTCCTATGGCGTGACGCAAATGGAATGTCGCCTCGCATACAGACCATTTTCATTAAGTTGATGTTGACCACAGTTGGCGTTCAATGCACGGTTGACGTTGACACCAACCTTCCGGTGGCTGCAGCAAGGGAGGATCTAAGAAGAGTCGGAGTAACAGTTCTATTCCTGTGTGCACATAATGTCAAATATCGGTCAATGGGCTCCTCGTAGCGGTTGGCCATCCTTAGCTGAACCTCCTACATGCTGGATCTGTGGTTTGAAATTGCCTCCAAAGTCTATGAACCACAGAAGGACTCCCATTTAGCCATCTGGCCACTTCTGTTTGACTTGTCTTGCCTCTAGTCTCTCCCAATGGCTCTCCATTGTAGTTCTGCAGGCAAATGATGCCTGGAGGTCATTGTTATGAATTGGCTATCTCAGATTTCTGATGTCACTATCACAGTGAAATATGTAGGCTTGCTCTCAAACATGGACTTCGCAGATGCGCATGGACTATGCTCCTCGCAGATGACGTATTCAGAGTGCAGCATCACTAATTTGCATATTGCAGTTTTACTCAGCTACTCTTACTTTAAAACATACTCAAATTTTACACAGTTGGTTTATTTTTGAGGGAGTTATCGCTACTTTTGTGATTTTTTCCTTAATTTATGATAACCAGTGTATAACAGCAAAACCAATTTCTATGAAAAGACTGGTTCTTGTAGGATTGGCTATACTATCTCTTTGTCGTTACTGGTTATTAAAAGGTTTGATTTGAACAGAAGATTTCACTTTTATATACATGTTACTGTGAAAGATCGAGATTTGGAGAATGTGAACATTCACATAGTCGTTTGGTGCATGTCCAAACTATTTGCCAAATATCCTTATTTCTGACTTACACCGGCAAATGTCGACATTCACCATACACTAATGGTGAATGTTGAACACATCGGATATTTGCATTTTGTTCTCCGTATTTCAGGTGCCATAAAACTTCAAGGGTGACATAACGTTTTCGCCTGTCTTGCTGAGAGGAGTAACCAATGCCTGGTGACAAGAGTTGTTCAGAACTGTATAGAGGCGTTTTCACCGAGTAACATGTAGCTTTTGATTCTAATGCGAGAAGGGCTGCTCGATATTATTTGACTTCTTAATAATGACAGCAGTCATGCTTGGATAAATGTTAAGCATTTGGTTTTAAATTTAGCAATAAAGAATTTTTTTTTACTTTTGCATTTATACAATATATGTCAAAATACGAAAACGTTTAAGTAACAGAACATGTAAATAAACTTTTGAACTTAAACAATACATTCTAAATCAGAAAAGAAAATAATAATAAAAAAAACACTTAATTATGTGATTGAAATCTTACTTATTGCAACAACATAAACTTTTATCACATTTTGAATTGCACAAGAGTTCCTTGCTTTTTTTTTAATTTGCTAGTTTATAAAAGCCGGAGTCTTATTCAAACAACAACTGCCAACACATTTTGCCCATCTGTACAACCACTGTCAACATCAGGAACTTGTATTTGTACAGTATCACCAATTTGAGCAGGAGAAAATTTTTTTGAGGTTCGTAAAATTTTTGTTGCTTGCAGTAAAAGAGTCTCTTTCGCGGCCGATCTTTTTATAGAAATTAACTTGTGTTGTTCAGTTCAGGCTTGTTACGAAGACGTGGTAGTTTGCAGGTCCTCCTCAATATTTTTCTTTGGAATATGGTTTTCGGTATGACCACTGCTCAGATTTTCTTCAAAAGTATTAAAAGTTTCTTCAAGCTGTTCTTCGGTTTCAAAAGTATTAGCAATTTTTTAAGAGTTGTTCTTCGGTTTCAATATTTGCGATTTGTTCACCAGGGAAAAAAAGACGATGCGATGCCTCTTTTTGGCTTAATGCCAAACATTGCTTCATAAGGGATAATCAATCCCGGTGAGGAGAGATATGCTTGAAAGATAAAAAGAATTGTTTTCTCATATACTCGCAATTAATGCATTTAACTTTTCAAAAAAAAGTTCACGATTCACTGCAGTATCCATTCAACATAAATTAGGGTATTGGATAAAAAAAATTTTTTTTTTTTTTTTTTTTGAGAAAACATTGCACTTACTATCAAATCTAGCATAAGACTGACAAACAGTGTTCCAGAGTATAACAAATACATGCTACAAAACTTCAATTGCAGAGCGAAGGATCTAGCGACAGACAGTCGCCCCTCTGTTGAACTCGACTTCTCTTTTCGACCTCCACCACAGTATATCTATGATTGTCGACATACACTGGTGATGGTCCAACTGTACGAGAATATAATCAAATATTCATTCTTTCACCGATATATTTCGTATGTGTTGACATTCTCCAATTTCGGTCTTACATATGTCAGCAGTATTATACAATAATAGATAAACTATTTATCAGCCAATAATGCACAAAAGAAATCTAAATTATTAAAATACAACTATTTTTCAAACAGAAAAAGAAAATCTTAAGAGGTTTTGTAGAAACTGAGCTAAACAATTTATCTTGTATATATGACTAAAACTAAAATTTACAAATAATGCCTAGACACTTCTCACATACACGGTGTGTTGCATGAAGTAAAGAAACATGTAAACTAGAACTCTTGGAAAATTTTTTAGGTAAATGCATCACTTTAAATGTTGCTAATGACTCATGCAAAACACATGGAAAATAAATATAAAATGAACTTACACTACCAGCTGCACCACCAGCGGCAAAACTGAACCAAATTGCAGGTTGCTGTTGATTAAATGTTTGCTTAAGCATTTCATAACTCAGCCAGTATATAGCTGTAAAACAAGGTATATTTGTTAATTAAATATTCATTGTTGTTCATAAAATATGTTACAAGAGAAGATCAAGAAAGGCCTATCATAATACAATTTTACTTCTAGAGATACTTACATGAAAATGGAACATCTCTTAAAACTGTTGGACCCAAACCTCGGTAAAGAGAAGATAATCCTTGACTTGAAACTAAAGTTCTTACTGCTTGAACAATTTCTAAGAAAAAAAGAAGAAATATAGGTAAGTTGAGAATCTACAATAGGTACAATTTTAACAGAAAAAATCTTGTTTTCGTAAGAAATATTTACATACCAATGTAACTTAGCTTTTGGGACTGCATTTTCGTTCTTACCAATTCCAATGGACTCACAACTGTGGTAGCTATAGCTGTTTAAAAATAAATATACAAAAATTAACCCAAAAAAATTACATGCAACTGCAATGTCCATTTTTAATAATATGCTACAGTGAAATTCTATCATTCCAAACTGAACACCAAAAATGTTTGATAAAAAACAATCTAAAATTTTACCTACAAAATTTCTTTATGAGAAGGATTCAGGAAAAGCAAAGAGGATTCAATATTTTTTTTTTTTTTCTTAAAAACATCAAAATAAGTCCACCATCATTTTCCAAAAATAATATTTCATTATTGCTGCATCAGACTGACAATATATATGAATAAGGAAGAATCACTGCTAAACAGTTATAGACAGTTTTCCATTTAACACTCGTGTAAACTAATTTATATGAAAACCTCCATTTAATTTCAATTTGTTGTTAATAAGTGTTGGCAATCCTAATCTCATGCTATAATATGTGCTCAACAGAAACTGAGTTCAAAAGTTCTTATTATAAGTACGCTTCTAACAAAAACATAATCGTTTTAGATACAAAGAGAACAAGAAAAATTTCTCCTATGTGGAAGGAAGAGGATTGTTTCTTTTCATTACTGGGAGATGGGGGATCGGAAAGGATTCATATTTTAAAGGTTGCACAAATGGGCTCTTTTAAAGTGTAACGTACTTCATAATGGAGATGGTGGAGGTGGAATAGTGAAACATTTTACAGGACACTAGAAGAAAATACATTTACAATAACACGGGGAAAGTTATATATCTTCAATATATTTGAAAAGGGAAAAAATTAGAACAATATTTTATTAAAATACTTAATATGCTTAATTAGATACATCATGAATTAAATGCATTTTTACTTAAATTAATCAGATTAGGAAGTTAAACAAATTATCAAGAATTGCATCTATTGCGTTTTGTTAATCAATAGCAGATAGATTAAATTTGAAATATAAATCTCTTACATTTTACCAAATGACAATGGCCTCAAAAGTGAAATGCATTTATAGTGGATGATACAAAATTTGTCTTTCAAGACTAACTGCCCTTCTGGGCTAAAAGGGGGAAAAAATATAACAAAGTCTGGGATTACTTTGTTTTTGAGTTCATGTCATGTTATTAAAAATATGATTCTTTTTTAAATGCATAATTTTTTATTAAAAATGTCTTGCATTAATTGGCAAAGTATATCATAATCACGTAAACTGATATGGAAAAGAACATTGAATGGCTAGAAAGAAGAGATGCTTTTATGAAAGACTTTTTAATGAAAATTAGCTAACATTTACATAACACATAGGGAAAACCAGAAAAACACCCACATAAGCAGCCTATTTGCCAAGATAAAAATTAAATAATGTAATTTAAAACACATTTAAATTATTATATAATTAAATTTATTATGAAATAATAATTTTTATAAACATTTGCAGCACTTCTGTAATCAATAAAGGATGTTTCTAATTCCATACTTTATTCACCAGGTACTCAGAATCATTTGGTTTTTAACTAACACTTTCATATGTTAGTGTTTGGCTATGATTTAAACTTATTAAAATCATATATCGTATATGTGCTGAGAAGTAAATTACTTTGAAAAGCAATTCCAATAGTGAAGAAATTTAACGTTACAGCTTTACTTGAATTTAATTTACAGATAAAACAATCCAACGAGAAACAGAATAATTTATTCTGTGCAAAGAAATTCCTCACTGCATAATGAATTTATTAATATGAAAAAATAAACTTTACTTGATATGAATAGTTAAGACAGATAACATATAAATATTAACAAAAATCAACATATTTAATATTTTAATAAAATAATCTAGTCAAATAATATTTAAGTAAAAACAGTCAGCACCTCTAGCCATTCCACCAGCAACTACAGGTACCCAGAAAGCATGATATGATAGCTGATAATTTTTCAAGAAAAAGTTTCGTAATTGATCATACGCTGTATAATAAACAACAGTAGATGGAACGGCCATCACACTAAAATTTAAATAAAAACATCGTACATCAGAAATTTAAAACATAAATCAAGCAAATAGTTACATTAATAATAATAATAATAATAATAATAAACCTATTGAATAACACTACAATAAGTAAAACTATAGCACCAAAAATTTAACATGTATTATAAGTACTGCCGTTTCCCCCACCCCACACAGCAGATAGCTTGTTACAGAGTGTATGAAAAAAAGGTTAGTTCATTTGTACAAATAATGGAACAATGTGCAGATTGCATTAATTTCTAAATTAATTGAGAAAGGAATTCCCCCCTAAAAGTATGAATCAAACTTTCTTGCGACATTTCTAATACCAGTGGTTTCAATCTCGAGTGGGTAAGTAGACTATAAAAGCCAAAAATCATGAGACACTTTAGATATTATTATTATTATTATTTATTTCCAGAGAACTGTTTGCCAAATTATTCTCTAAGGGTGGCAATGTAAATAATATGTTTTAACTCTTACTTTCTAATGAAAGTTCAGACATAAGTGCATTTACAGGACCCTCAACAAAATGACAGGAGATGTACATGTTTTTTAATTAACCTGTAATTTAAAAACCAAAAAAATTATCTGTAACTTTTAGAAAAAACGTACATATTTTTAAAAACGGGGAACATTTAATCAGAATGAGCATTTACACTGACAAGCCAAAACATTACAGCCATCCCCATATTTTTCAATAAACTTGTCTGGATAACATCGAGGGCATGTGAATAAGCGGGAATGGTATTTATCTGTTACTGCAGAAAGTACGGAATTATTTTTGCACTTACTTTTACGAGTGATGGGAAAGGCTACTGATCTAAGCATATTTGATAGAACTCAGATTGTAACGGACTCTGAATTAGTATCTCTAAAACTGCACAACTGGTAAGTTCATGATCTACTGTTGTTAATATTTATGCCAAGTGAATAAATGATGGTGAAACCAGCAATAGATGCCAAGGTGTTGGACATCCATGCATCATCAAAGAAAAATGACATTGGAGATTGTTCTGTTTGGTACAACAAAATTGGTGCCAGATAGTGGCTCAGCTGAAAGCCTAGTACAAAGAATCAAGATCTAAGTGCAAGTTTTTTTGAACACACAGTTCAGCAGACATTGTTGGATATGGTACTGAATCCATGGATCCAGTACCATGGATGGTACTGCTGGATATGGTACTGAGCAGCAGACTTCCCACACATGTACCTCTGTTGACCAAGTATCATTGTCATCTATGCCTAAAGTGGGCCTGGGAACATCGAGACTGGAGCATGGATAAGTGGAAGACAGTTACCTAGTCAGATGAATCACGATTTCTCATTCATCACATCGATGGCTGTGACAGGGTATGTCATCCTCCAGATAAACAATTGCTTCTCCCTGTACAGCAGATCATACACTGGTTAGTGATGTCAGTATTATGCTTTGGGAGACAACCTCATGGGCAGTCTGGAACCCTTAGTTGTGGTAGAACAGACCACAAAAGCTGAACATAATTGCAGATCAGTTGCATCCATCTGTCTTCTCACTGGAAATGGAATCTTACAGTAGGACACGTCCCACTTCATAAGGCTTGAACTGTGTTGGAGGGGTTCGAGGATAAATTCCAATTAATGTCCTGTCCACCTAGCTCGTCCGATCTTAAGCTAATAGAGCATATTTGGGATGTCATGCAGCAGCAGGTGAGCACAATCCCCACCATGTCTCAATATCTTGACCCTGCTTGATAAAGCCTGCATCTAGTCATCAACCAAGAACTTGTGGCATCCATGTCAAGGTGCATTGCAGCCATTTTGCCTCTTCAGTGTTAACAAAAAAATTTCTAACTTTACATGTACAAAATATATCAGTTTTGTTTCTTTCATAATTTGGTAGCCAAGGACGACAACTTATATAAAAATTCCAGGTGAATATTGTGTAAATTTGTAAAAGATATTGTCAAAACAGTAAGCTGTATTGCAGTTACATTCTAGAATTAGGCAACTTTTTCCATAAATTATTACTTACTTAATTTATCAGGCAGTATTTTTGTTGTAATTGAGCCAGTCCAATGTTATTCATATAAGAAAAAACATGTGTCTGATGTTATAAATAAAAGTGATAGGAAGAACACATGTTTAAAGCTAAAAATGAACAAACACTAAATACAGAAAATGACAGTTTCTGAAAAATCTCTTATCATTCAGTTAGTTCCAAAAAGGAATTGCAATAGAGCTAACTATATCGTCTACATCTTTTTGAATTTGCACAAGATTCACCTGGAATTTTTATGTAAGTTGCCTATACTTGGCTACCAAATTATGAAAAGAAAAAGTTGATAAATTTTGCACACATGGAGTTGAAAAATAATTTTAAAAAATGATTATATTCTGTTGAATATTCAGAGTTTTCATTTCAAATTTTAGTTTAAAATTTTTTTTGAATGTTGTAATGTTTTCTATCACTCATGCATACCTGCCAACCTCTAAAGATAAAAATTCAGAAGATTTCTCCAAAATTCAGAAGAACACGAATTAATATCATGCTTTAATATTAAAAAAATAACAATTTATACAAATAGAAAAAAGAAAATTGTACACTTACATTAGTAAATCTCAATTAAGTAGTAACTAAAAATATTATTAGGAAACATAAAACAAGAACTTAATGTTACACAAAAAAATTATTGCAATGAATTTAGAGTGCATTTTTTGGCTTTAGCCAAAAATTCTTTGGAAATTCCTGGCATATAACAATTAGTTTCCTCATAAACATTTAGCAAGTAAAATGTTTTCTAGAGTGGTAAATCCTAGTATACGGTGCAGCCTTGGCGTGACTTTGAAAATTATCGCCAACACCAAAAATTATCCAAAGAACGTCTATATATAATTTATACACACACAGTATATATATATACATACTATATACTATGTTTAATGTATATTTTCTTTGAATGACCCGTTAACTACTCACCGTATATGTCCCATTTTACTGCTCATCATAAAGTCGCCAAAAGTAGCCAAATCCCGTGTGCACCGGACGGATACTAGGATTAAACCTCTAGAGTTTTTGGTGAAATTGAAATTGAACGACACATAGTTTTGTTTTTTCTTCACAACACTGAAGACTCTCTCGCATCAGCATTACTGTGTGAAATTACGAGAATGTGACAATCCACGCTTCGCTGAGTAATTCCCTTGCTGCTGAAGCGAAACGCGAAAAAAAATAATCTGGCACCCATAAAGAAAAGAGTGGGAGAAACAAGTTCAGTGCATTGGATTGGCTGGTTAAGCGGCGAGTTGGGAGAAACCGCAGGTCACTGGAGTTCGAAGTAGTCGGTAGCTGGCGGTAAAACACGATACAATTGACAAAAATTGCTGATTGGCGAAAAAATTCTAATAATTCCGACAAAAATCACTAAAAACACTTGAAAAAGGGAAAAAAAATTGTAAAAAATGGATTACGATCGTAAAATCGTAAAGACAAACGCATTTTCGTAAAAATTACGAAAAATTCGTAAAAGTTGGCAGGTATGCTCATGTTAAATTTGACCAAAAAATTTTCTCTGCAAACTTTGTACATTATAAGTACAAAACATGCAAACAATTTGCAATTTTAAAAAACTGCAGTTTTAAAACAAACCTTTATATTAATACACGGTGTTTGTACGAAAATGCAAACAAATATTGAGCATAATGAGTAAAATATTTTCTAAAAGTTACAGATTATTTCTCGACTTAAAAAAAATTTTTTTTTACAAAGCTATTTTTGTTGTTGATTTTCTTAATGCATTAGTGATTGAATTTTCACTGAAATATAAGAACTGAGGCATGCTATTAAAATGGCATTTAACAAAAATGCATTAAACATTTTTCTGGAGGAGAAAAAAGTCCGAAATCCGAAATGTCCAGTGACTTTTACCTATATATAGAAGTATTCATTCATATAAAAAAATAATAATCTCAATTAGTTGAACTGAAAATTTCATGTTTCATAACACTTAAATTTTTTTTCTAAAACTCAGTGTTATTCATTACTCAGAGTTTTAGTTTATTCATTACACTGAGATATGTGCAATCATTTCAACATTAACTTTTAAAAAATCTAAATCAAATTTTCAAAAAATCACATTGTATTTTCCTTTATAATGAGTATGTGTGCAAAATTGAGTTCAATAGCTAATTAGAGAATAGTTTTAAAATGCATAGCAGTGTTTGACTACCAAGACAAATAATATGACTGAATTAAATAAAATAAATACACATGACTAGTTTTAAAAAAAATTCTAAAAAGGGCACCTAATTGATATTTTTCAATCTATCATTCTTGTTTTAAAAAAGGTTGAAAAGAGTTTTTCTTTATCTTTAAAATTTTAAAATCTTTATAACATTTATTTTTGGAAGTTAAAATTTTACAGCCGCATAATATACCACAATATGTACCCAACATCCCCTCCGTCGATTAAGTGGCACTATAAAATTACTAAAATCAACTCTTAAAATGAAATACGGAGAAAAATGTATAAAAATTGTAAGTTTTTTATATAAAACAAAACTGTAATTAAAATTGAAATAGTTTTTAAAAATATCCCTTTTTTCACTTTTAAATGTCTTTGATTTTATAACATTTATTAAATTATTTTTCGTTTTACAACTTCTTTTTACTTTTATTTAAAGAATTCTCAATCATTTAGATAAAATTCAGAAATGTGACTCCACTGAAAATTATTTGACTGCTTATTGGGGGGGGGGGAAGACAAAGAAATTTCAACAACAGTTTTTATACTAATTTTATTATGTTGTATTAATTATTATTTTTTGTTTCAATTTTGATGCATGTACATCCGATTAAATGGTTAATCCCATTCTTGATTTAATAAATTATCTCTTAATTTTATTATATAATATACATAGGAAAAAGAAAAAAAAGAAAAATAACACAGTAAATTTCACTACATATAATTTTAAATGCTAATCAATTCTTTATTTTTTTTAGATTAATGAAATAAATTATGAATACAGAATCTATCTATATATAAAAAGGAATAAATCAAATTTTTAAAATGGCAGAAGACTTCTACATTAAACTTAATTTGTTTGCAAATAATTCCTTGCAGCAAGGGCAAGTGAGGCAGAAGTGAAATAATGGTGTGATGTACATCAAAACTATGGAACTGGAGAATGAATACCTTTCCTTCTTATTGTATCATAATAAACAAAACAAAAACTCAATTTAAACCTTTTTTTACCTATTTTGTTTTAAAAGAGGACTAAGAATTTGTTTTATAACCTGTGAAATTTTTAAAACCTTGAAACCAATATATTTTTAGATGTTAAAAGTTTAAAATCACAGATTTAATCACTAGGTAGTCGAAAAAAATCAAGCACTTTTCCAAAAAATCAGAAGTTATGTTAAAAATTTCATTCAAATTTTACTTAAATGATTCCCCCCGCTCTATCTGACGGTGCAAACAGTAAATTTCTCAATTTTCAGTTTATTTGTAAAATGCAGATATGTGTGAAAAATTCGTTTTCATCCACAAACAAAGTATGTACAAAAATTGAACTCTGTAGCTGATCAGGAGTTTGTTTAAAAATCGATGAAAAAACTTTTGACCACAGTGATAAATATCAAGAATGAGTTAAGTAAAAGCTTATAAATAGTATATCATGTTCACTTGATACATTAAAATATTACTCATGATTAATAAAATTATTTTATATTAAATATAATAAATATCAATCAATACTGATTTATAATAAGGTTTCAAAAACACTGCTAAAGACATTTGCTAAATTGAATTTCATAAAAACATTTAAAAAATGAGCTCACCAAATAAAAATTAATCACCTGGAATGTTTAAATTTATAACAATTATAAGCATTTGCTGCAGATGCACTGAGCAAGCAGGATTAGGAAATAGACACCTCATGAGTACGGAAGAGGATACTCAAGTTTTACAAAAGTAATATAATGCAGTCCATAAAATGCATTGCAAAGTGGATATTATTTAAATGGCAAAAAGGAGCAATTACATTTAGATATGCAAAAGATCATTCCAAGAAAAAAGCAGTGAGATATTTTAGGTGCATCAATGCATATAACAGGAGTGGCCAAAGTACTGTTTTCACAGGTGAGTGATGCAGCTCTTATGAAAATAAAATATATGTATGAAATATGGTAAATTAAAACTGCTCAATGTTAAAAAGTAAGCAAACTGTCACTGAATGATTGTTTAGAACTCAGGTGGTTCTTTTCATTTGAAACATGTTTCACTACTTTTAAAACCATGTACATAGGGACTTCTGGCTTTTGGAAAAATCTAGCATTGTCTCCCGAACTTTCCCGAGTTCCATCGCGGTTCTTATTGACATGAGTGTGTGACCCCTGGCATATGTCATGCAATTCCTCAACTATGGCAGAAACACCCACTATAGGAAATTCTTGTCAGAAGTATGACGGGATGGCAGTATTGACAGATCAAGCTGGCTGCAGTGTTTCATGCCTTGTAACTTAAAAAATCACCATACTCTATAATAATTAATAAAAAATATTGATGTTGGGCTTTCATCCACACCTTTCTGAAATACAACTCTGCTGGGAACTCTAAAAGAAAAACATATGGAATAATAGGCATGCTAGAGGCCTTAGCCTACTTCTTTCCTCAAATTTGCCTAGGTACAGTTGATGAAGAGGTAAAAATGATGGACCATGGAGAACTGGAAAAAAAACTTAAAGAGATTTGGTCTTCTCTTGATGCGAAAGAGTTAATAGACATGTTTCTGACACAATTGGATGATTTTAGCTGGCAATTGGATGATGTCAGCCCACTGAAAACCCGAAGAAGCCTTTAATGTAGACTGTATGCAAAAGTTGGAAAAATCTTAGTGATATTTTGGGCTTATTTTATTTTGGAAATAGGTTCTTGGCTGAAATGACAATCATTTGGATTAACTATTGTTAGGAAAACAACTTTTGCTGCTTCCTCTTCATCTTAACAAGGATTGTAATACTCCCATTTTTATCTTCTAGGGTAATTCCTCCATTAATAGAACAGCAAACTCTGACCAATTAGCATGCACATTCAAAAGCCCCCCTCCCACATCTGGACTTGGCCTGCAAAAATTCTGGTAATGAACCAACTAAAAAAATCTATGGGATTCCACAATGTGTTTAATATCAGGAATGGCATCCATGTATAATTCTTTTATATAGTAGACGTGAACATTGACGTCTACTATACACAGAAACTTATCCAGTTCATGCCGAAACTCTGCTCCTCCCAGGTTTGCTAAAGTATTATACAATATCAGGTAGTTCCCATACCAGGTGATTAATTATTTTTTGGTCTGATGAATTTACATATAAATTATACATATGCACATGACTATCTATGAATATCTTTGGCCCTACAGCCTATAGCTTACAGTGCAGGTGGCAATCCACTCCATAATGAGGTTACACCTTCTGCTCTTGTTATTTTAACAAAAGCATCCTGAAAAACACAAATGCTAAATACTGAAACAAATAAATAATACTCTATCGTTGCATTGACTCTTTGGAATATGTCAATTTTCAAATTTAATTTTTATTAAAAAATGCAACAAAATAAACATGTACAAGAATACTCCAGAGAAAATGCAACAAAGAGCTAAAGAAAATACAAAAAGTAAAAATAATAAAAATATTCAATATTTATCTTTCAATGCAAAGTGATAAAATTTTACAACTGAACAGTTTATTAAAAAAACTGCTCAGTTTTAAGGAAATACATATTAAGGAATTCCAACAAAGATGGTAAGGCTATATAATACATAGTATGATGTAACATACGTGTAAAGCATTATTTTCTACAAAAGAAATAGCAGGAAACTGACATACAGGATGATATAAAAGTCAGCACACATTTAAAAAAATTCGCATTTTATTGAATCTGCAATATATCATAATGCATACATTTCCCCCCCCCTCTTCAGAAATTTTGTTTTGCAAAATAAGTCTGCCAATCTTTGCTTTGTATTAATAAATTATCATTATTGCTGAATGCTGTATACAAATAGCATTTTTTAGGGATATTTTTATATGTACTGTCAGACAGCATCTTTTAAAATTGCCAATAATGCACAGTAATCTTTGTATAGCCACCACATGAGATTTCAGGCCTAGCGATCGGGATTGTCCCATATGTTACAATTGACAACTTGTCACAAGATTCTTTTCCAATATGTTGTTTTACATGAGAAGCAAGAGGATGTGATGCTTCTATCAAGCATAAATGAGCTAAAATGTGATGTTTATCTTCCACCAAGGCTAGCAAAAAATACATTTTCTTAAGAGGATAGCATATAGCTGTTCTGTTATAGCAGAAGTTCAAAAATGCAATGCCATCTAATGGATATAATAAAAATTTAAAGAAAATGGATAACAAAACCCTTTAATTAATTTTACAAGTCAGTACCATGTGTGTTACTATGGATCACCCAATATACAAGGTGTGACATACACACACACACACAAAAAAAAAAAAAAAAAAAAGAAAGAAAGAAAGAAAGAGAAGACTGGTCCAATAAATCATTGTACTTATAGAAGCAGTTCTCCGTGACATTATCACCTTCAAAGTAGTTCCCTTTAGCATTCACACACTTCTGTATTCGGTGCTGCCATTATTGGTAACAGTTGTGGAACAAGGTTTTTGGAAGGCCCTTCAGGAGATTCTCCATTTTCGCCTGAACCTCTTCAGCTGAGGTAAAAATGGGTTCCCTTTAAGTACGATTTAATTTTAGGAAATTGAGCATGCTGGGCATCCAAGAGGACGTCCAGCAAGTTCATCATGTTCCACATTGTCCCTTCCCCCTGAAGACCACTTCTGCCATTCAAACACATGTACATGGGACAAAGTTTCATCTCCATAAGCATCCGTTAACATTTGAAATGTTTTCTCTGTGGCTGATTTCGTAAGTTTCACAAGAAACTTGATCTTGATTAGCTGTTCAGTTTTTACATTAGGTATTTTTCCGGCAGAATGCTGTTCCACGTGTTCACTCAATGACACAGTACTCCCCATGGGCGTGGTCAATTAAGTCGAAACTGGCCCCATGGATAGAGGAGGTGTGTAGCATGATGTCAGCATAACAGTTGTTGCCAACTCTGCTCTGTTTTCAAGCTACACACATAATTTTTTTTTTTTTTGAGTAGGGGGCAGAAGAAGGTGCTCTTTTGCAATAAGCATTTGTAATTTGGAAGAAAGAAGTGATACACTAATATCATCAATGACAGGATTGGATTGGATTGGAATATTATAATTTGGCACAAAACCTGTCAAGGTTATCTGCGCCAGACAAATGGTAACAATGCAATTAGTCATTTGTAAAAACTTCCAGCTTAGGTAAGAAGAGACAGATTACAGTCTATGATAAGAGCTGATATCTTTTAAAAACAGGTTTAAGTCTATTATAAAAGCCAATATCTTTTAAAAACAGAAACAAATTACGATGATGTGTTTTTCCAATTAAATTTCCTAAGTCCAGTTCTGAAAAATTAAAATGTTTTTGGCAAAAATGATTAAAACTCTGGCATTCCACCAAGATATGATAGACTGTTAGATCTGCATTGCAGTTTGGGCAGCTGGGATTCTCTTCTCCCTTCAGAAGATATCCATGGGTCAGGCGACAATGGCCAATTCTCAGTCGAGTCAAGAGGACATCTTCCTTTCTATTAGCCATACATGGCCAGTATCCAATGGTGGGTTTTACATTTCTCAGCTTGTTATATACTTTGTCATCCCATTGCTTCTGCCATTTGCTGAGGATTTTGCTTTTGACAAACCCTTTGATGTCTGCTAGTGGAATCTGAAGATTGTACATTGTGGTTGCGGTTTTAGCTGCAATATCCGCCAATTCATTCCCCTTAATGGCAACGTGTCCAGGGATCCACGAATATAGAATCTGGTATCCCCGAATTTTTAAAGAATGATTCAACTTCAGGATTCTGATTGCAACTGGATGAGTACATTGAGCGTGATTTTTCAATGACATTAAGGCACTCATGGAATCTGTGTAGATAATAAATTTTATGTACTTTTGTTTTGAAAGGTAAGTCAAAGCCAGATGGATTGCAGTAAGCTCAGAAGTAAGCACAGAGCAAACTGTATGTAATCGAACCCCTACTATTGTTTTCTTCTGTGACGAAAGCAGCGCCAACATGATCCTGGGATTTTGATCCGTCTGTATATAGAGGGATATATTTCCTATATTTGTTTCTATGTTGAAAAAAAATCTGCTTGTAGATTAATTTCATTAGTTGTGATTTACTCCAGTGTCGAAAAGTATCCAGAGAATGGATTCTCCAATCCTCCCAGGGAAGGAATTCCAAAAAAAATCCTCCATCCTGTATATCTATATTAAACGAATTATATTCCTCCACCAAAGCGCTCATCCGCAAGCCGAAAGATGGGACACATGATGGTCGTGCCTGATATAAACGGGAGTATTGGTCATTAAGCAATTTTGACCGCATAGAATTTTCGGTATGTGATAAGACTTTGAAATAATGCTTAAAACAAAGATTTTCACGTCTTAACCGCAGGGAGGTCTCGTTACTTTCCACATATAAGCTTTCCACTGGAGAAGTTCTAAAGGCACCAGTGCATGGTGATGTATCGGATCAAATTTGGCTAATACTGAAGGTCTTGCTGACATCAATGACAGAGTTTTATTCAAAGTACAACATTTTTAATTTGTATTCATTCTGCTTGTATTATAAACACATTTTTTCTCTTAATTTGTGTATGATTAATTAACTTCAAAATTAACCGTTTAAATAAGGTTTTACTTAAACATAAGATTAACAAACAAAATTTGGATATTGTAAGTAATTATTAATTACATATAAATTATTCTGAAATGGAAAAATACATTATAATATACAAAAAGAGTTCAATTCCTCAAATAAGTAATACCGAAGAAAATATCTTATTTGCATAATTTATTTTCTTTCTAAAAATGTTCGGTACAGTTTTATGACATTCAAATTAGCAACAGATCTGGAAAACAAAAATTAATTCTGACTAATGAAATGATTTTACAGAAGATGAAATATTTAGTAAACTGAATTTGCTGAAAGATGATAAAAAAGAAATTTTCTTGCATTTCTAAACTATTATTTGAATTAAGCGAGCGGTTTGGTTTAATTGATTATGGCAAAGCACACTATGACTATTGCCTAAGGGGAAGGGTGCCTTTGTGGATGATTTTTTTTGGAAAACTGGCTCATATAGATGTTACACATGGGGGGGGGACGCCTAAGAAGCCAGCCCATTCATCTGGAATTGAGCCCAGATTGGAATGAAAAATGAAGTGAGTGAAAGTCGTAAGTAAAACTAGCAAGTAATCAAACAGGTTAAAAATTACTACTAAATTTTGCATTGCAGTTGACCGTTCTGCATTTTTTTAGATCAATAAATCTGCAGTGCAATATTCTAAGCAAAATAAGAATTCCCTTTTCAAAATACCTAAAAAATAGTAAGCATATTTATTTTATTTAAAAAATGAACGCTGAAGATAATTTTATTTATTTTTTATTTCAACCATTTTATTTTATTTATTGCAATTAGTAAATTATTTAAAACCATATTTTTCCTGTTTGTTGTATTTCTGGAAACATTTTGTCCTTATAAAGCTTAATATATAGTATCTGTGCAGATAATTTTAATTCGTTGTATTTAATTTATTATTGTATTGTTAATTACTTTTTTGGATATGCTGGAATTCCAATTTATTAATTTGTTAGTATTGAAACTGAAGTTTCTTGTTTTGTCAAAAAGTAAAATTTTTTTGTAGTCAATGATTTGAAGATCGAGATAGTCTATGCTATTTTGTGAATTATTAGTTTTATTAAGTGTAAGGCAATTTGGATAAATCTCGGAGTATTCAATTTTATTAAAATTATTAATTGTAATAAGATCATCAATATATCTGTAAGTGTACTTGTAGTAATTTAATTCTTGTGGTTGTAGATTTTTTTGGAAGTTAAATTCTTTGATAAATAAAAAGCTATTACAGAGTGAGGTACTGGAATGGGACCCCATTGGAAGACCTCTGACTTGTTTAAAAAATTGATTTTGAAATTTAATGTAGTTATGAAAAGTGTGTGCTTTTAGGTAGGTTTTCAATTTGTTAAGATTCATAATCGTGAGCATATCAGGAAAGAGTTTAGGCAGATCTAGTAGACTAGTATAAATTTCTTCTAGAGGAAGTGAGGTATATAAGTTTTCAAAGTCATAGCAGTTAATGTTCTGTATGTTAATTGTTTGAATGGCATTAATGACAGGAGTGTTATTATGGATGATCCAGCAATAGTTATGATTAGTGTTACAATCATTGAAAATAAATTTACAATTTTTTTTAAGTTGAATTGAAAAATAATAGTCTGCATTTTTCTTGTAATTATTAGTTCCATTTGCTATAAATCAGAATTTTAATGGTGTTTTATGGAATTTTAATATTATATATTACTTGGCAGACATCCACAGAGAAGCTCATGAAGTTGCCACTGTGAAATTTTTATTTTACCATTCACACTTAACTAGTACTATGTTTAAAACAATTTCCCAAAAGCAACAAAAATAATTCTATACGTTTCTGATTGTCCTTTTTTATTGTTTTTGTTATATAGTGTTTTCAAAATCAATTAAATATATTTTCAATGTGCATTTGCCACAATACAGTTTATTTTTATTGTTGATGGCACTGAAGAAATTCAGCTAGAGCTCCATAGGATGAATTTGGATATTTTAATTTATGATTTAACTATCTGCCATTAATTTAACTTAATTTATTAATTTTCTATTTACCTCTTTACATTTTAATATTAATTATTAACTATTTATTATGTCATTTAATTATGTCTGATCACCTTTCCTGATAAACTTCCATAGAGTTTCAGCAAGTGTAAATTTAAAAGTTGAGTCCTGAATGACATCAAATCTGAATGGTCTCAAATTCAAATGACTCTAAAAATCAAATTCAAATGACTCTAAAAATCAAATTCAAATGATTCAAAAAGTAAATCTAAAAAGAATTCAAATTATTGCTGCCATAAAATGTTAAAATTATAGAGATGGAATGCAATTTTCATTTCTCGAAGGCATATACATAAAAATACCTTATCTTTAACTATTGCTTCTTATGTACATTCCATTCTTATTAACATGCTATTTAATAATGCATTTTTATATGAAAACATTTGCAGATAATTTTACCAACCCTTCTTCCAAACAGAATTTAAAATATCTAATTTATTGAAATGAAGCACAAAATATATCAGGTACCTACAATTTTTCTGCCAAAATAATTGTTTTAATTTAATGCAAAATTATCTATTTAAAAAAGCTCTTATAATTCAAACATTAAATCTGAAGTACATTCAAATAAGCAAAACAATTCTGTACAATTTGAATAAGAATTCCTTACCACTGTTCCTGTCAAATGAGCAGATGAACGGTACCAATACGATGGTGAAATATGATGGTTCCCATTTGCATGGATATTACAACAAAGGTCTTCCACAAATCCATTGCAGTAAAGGAAGCATTTATTGCTGTTGAGCAGTGCTTTTTGCTGAGCTTGTAAGCGAATTTTAACAACATCCAAAGGTGTTACTGTTGAAGGAAGGAGGGGGAAAAAATTGCATTTTAGCTAAAATAACAATTTTAAAAGTTACTCATATAATCAGTCAGTCTAACACCATAAATTTTACAAAATACAAGATGGGAGATATAACAGTTTTATGAACAGGGAAAAAGTACATTCAGTTTTTTTCTTGGTGCATTCCTTGAACACTTAATGCACTTTTTATTTTAAAACAAAAATTTCTTGCAGGAACGGGAGAACACTATATCATTCAGAAATGTTTTAAATGTCATAGAGTCCATTAAAAATAACTGTAAAAGAAACACACTAAAACTGGTACTCGTTTGTAAATCTGATACTCAGACATATTGCCAAAAACATCAGCTATGAATTTAATCCTTTCAGTAACCCTAGAAGCTTTTCTGAATTCAACAAAAATGAGATTTTTATTTATTTTTTATTATTATTTTTGCTAATATTTTTTGGGAGGATAGGGATGTCTTATTTCTTATTTTAAGGTCAACTTTGATTTCTTAACTGGTATATATATATATATATATATATATAAAAAAAAATTCATGTGAGGATCAGCAAAATGGATAAACAGCAACATCATGGAGGGCATTGCCCCTTGGCCCCATTTGCAAATGTAACACATATCATCATCCCAGCTCAGCATTTACTTTCTCATCTCATTTGAGATTGTAGTTCAAACTCAGCCTTTCTTCAACTTCATGCTATTCATGAAATGGAACATGTTAAATAAAAAAAGAGTGGGAAAAATTCTGCCACTGGAATGATACCACAGCTGTCATTTCCAAGGTCATGAGGCAAGTCAGGTGGGAGGAAATAACCTTGCAACACTTATTTTAAAGTAATAAACTACACAAATTTCTTTGCTTTCTCCACAACAGATGATGCTACTTCATGCTTGTTTTGGTCTGCCCATTGCTTTTGATATAAAAAGTCATCACACCTTTCATTTGGGGGGATTAGTTATTATTATTACTCATCAGAAATGGCTTGCATATCACGCATATAATTTTTTTTTTTTTTTAAATTACCGGCAAAAAATTTTTCAGCTTAAAATTATTTTGCCTAACACAACCATTTAACAATATTTATAAAAAATGCAGCAAAGTTCTTAAATAATAATAATTAAAAAAATCATTCAAAAGATACAGAGTCCCCTGAATGTACACAAATACAGATGTTTAATGAAGTAGAGGTTGCAACGTAAACAAATGCTGTTCATTTCTTACTAATCCTCTAATCTTTGCCGATAAAATCATCTGACAGCATTAGATTTACTGAATGCCATTCTACAGCAAATTTTAATGATGCTACCTCGTGGTTTTTTTTTTTTTTTTTTTTTTTTAACCTTAGCTTATGTAAACAACAACATGAGCTCGTATGCACAGTTTCAAAGATTCAACGTCACAAGAGCAACAGAAGCTCACTGGCCCATTTTTTAAGACCTTCCCTCAGTGGCGATATTGATGTGTACTTGCAAATTATGCACCCGGGGAGGCGGATCTGAGGGTCTCACACCCCTCTTTCCCTACACCAACCTCTCGAGAGGACTTTCTGCTTGACGCATATTTTGAATGCCCCCATGCCTCACAGACACTACACATTTGGAAACATGCATGCATTCTCCGCAATTCGAACCCGAGCCCTTCGGTACCGTAGTCAGAGTCACTAACCACTCTATCGGTTGGGCGGCAATTTAGATCTAGTGAACACAGCTTAAACTGATTTTTCCGACTTTTAAGTTGTTTGAAAATACTAAGCAACTCGCTCATTTATTTTAAATTTTGATACACATAGTTTAGCGTAAACAACTTTGTAAGGGTGTACCCAAATTAGGACCGGGGGGTGAAGAGAATAGCAAGCTGCTTACATGGCACGTTAGGTCCATTCATTTAAATGTTTTAATAAACGGAAAAGATAATTATCACATTTGAAAAGCCCCATAAAGATGAAACATGATCTTTATACGACTGCATGAACTGTCTTTCTACGTCTAAATTACTTTTCTGTTGACGCGACGCCTCTAACCACCAAACATAAACGTTGGCAAAAAAAAAACCTAACTCAATGGCGACAACCCTAAGAAAAAATAAAGCTTCACGGAAGGGGATTATAACAACAGTAATTATCATATAATATGATACGATGTGCGCAACGCTGCAACTGTCATTCAGATTTCAAGCAGTGGCGTAGATTTAGTTTGTTACTATGGCAAAACCTTTGAGTTTAGAAGATAAACATAAAGGGATTACAAACAGCCAAAAAACATTAGAAACACATTTTATGAAAATGCATCCGCCAATAGAAAGCTTTAAGGAATTTAAGACTGTTTATCCCTAATATTCTCAGCCTAAAAATGATATGTAGAAAGAAACTGTTTTTAAATAACGATAACGAAACTATACGCTCAATATAATAAACTCAAGGCCGAAACTGCGGACTATTCAAGCTATGAATCTGTGCAACCAAAATTATAAGACAACGTCGTTAGAACTTACTTATTAATACTTTCGATACTGAATAAATATTAAGCAGCGAAATGCATAATTACTTTTATTAACAATTGAATATTAAAACTATTTTATATCTTTAAATGTGTATGAACGCGTTCCAGTAGTATTTTTTTTTTTTAAGTGTCAGCTTCACTGTTCATATAGTATAAACAGCAGGCAAGTGCATACATTTTTTCCCCTTAAACAAAAAATCTCATATGGACACCACATGACTCTTCGTACAGCCTATTAAGTTATGCACATTTTTTTGCTGCCCTTCATTCAAACTTGTTTCCTCGAATTTCATTTAGAGATACATTTCTCATTAAATTAATTCAGTTCTCACTTCGTTCAAGGCAAAAATACATAAAAATTCAAAACATCTTCTTAAAAATTGTAAAAGAGAGAAAAATATAAAACACCAAATAAAGTTGAAATAGTTAAATTTTTTTTTTTTACAATTAAATTTAAGAGTTTCTACACAAAAACAAGCGATTCGGCCAGCGGGCAAGAAGGCAGTTTTTTCGGTGCAGAAAAGTGAAAACACTGAAGGTGCATAAACTGACTTAATTCACTATTCTACCGAGTTGTAAATGTAAACAAACGGTGGCTCGTTAGGCTTAAACCCACCACTTTTAAACTGTTCGTAATTATAGAACTATTGCATGCAGATTAACAGAAGGCATAAAAACCTTAATAGGAACATAAAAAATCACATAATTCAATCACTTTTAAAGCAAAAAATTAACAATTTAATAACATATAAGAATAAAAAACTAAGCTCACTGAGATAGATAACAAAGGAAATGAATATATATATATATACATTTAAATTCAAGTCTCCTTAAAAAGTTTTTTTTTTTTCATGATTTACATTCAAGTTCCTTTAAAACACAATTTTCGGAATTAAACTTCCTACATATGGGTTCCCTCTTTTTGATACATTCTACTAAATTTATATTAGGAGATAATACAATCAATATTTCTTTAGTAAATAAATTATTATATATATACGACTGCTGCAGCCGATTGCAACGAAAAAGCGAGGTGCCCAACTACATGTTATAGCAGTCCCATATACAAAATTTCAACGTTCTACGGCTACTCGTTCTTGACTTAAGAGAGATACGTACGTACGTACAGAACTTCAAGGGAAAGAAAACTCTTCTGAGTCCGTTATAAAACTATTTTACAATTATTTTTTGCTAAAAACACAGTCTTGTATTCTGTCCGTACGTACAGATGTCGCGCAAAAACATCGTCAAATGATTTTGAGAGCGGTTGAAATGGAGATATTTTTGCTGAAATATGATACCCAAAATTTTTCGCGATTACAATACTTCCTTAACTTCGTACATCAGAAAAGTAGTAAGTAAAAATCAAAGAACAAGTAAGTATCAAGCAAGGGAAGTAAAAATCAGAAACTATGTAAAAAAACGTTAAATTTCTTTTACGCGTTATACGGGACTGTTTATCGTACTAATTTTTGTGTCGCTTTATAGGAATTCGCGTTTACGGGAGTTCACTATATTCAGAAAATGCTTCTTAAAACTAGTAACACTTACAGCAATTGAGAGGAAAATTCACACCAGTATTACAATATTTGGAACTTTGTTCTGGAGAGTGTATTTTAGATGCAAAAATTCAAGACTTGCTCTTCCAGTTTTCGTTTTCGATTTCCCTGGCAATAACGGAAATAAAATCCTGAAATACGTCATTCTTGCTTATTATTGTCACCGTGATCATAATTTAATTGAAATTCCCAATTTGTATTCAAAAGTTTCGATGGAATAAAAGAAATGACAACAGCATGTAACGGTTGAAATTACATTTTTTAAAATATTTCACCTTAGAATAAAAACGTCCCCTCCTCTTCAACTTAGCCCACCAGCGGCCGAGCGGTAAAGTCGCTGAACACTGGTAGTTCGGTCCGAGGTTCAAATCCCGCGAACGGGCTGGGCTGCATGGGTGTTTTCGTGGTTTTCCCCATGTGTAACGTGTATACGAGCCAGTTTCCCTTAGAAAGTCCTCCACGAAAGGCATCCCTCCTCTTAGGCAGATAGCCCCTAGCGTGCTTTGCCATAATTAAATACACCAACACCTCTTCAACTTAATTTCGTACAGCTATTTAGAATCTTATTATTTTTTACCTGCCTCGACGATCCACCTGACCAACCAACAACCCCAATGAAATAATGTTTCAAACAAAAAATGGTGCTCCTTAAAAATGAAAGAGGATCCCCTCTAACTATACTATCGATTTCAAGTGAATTTTTTGCCAGATTATAGGTCATCATATATGAAACCCTCACACTGCTGCTTTATATAAGTACCAGCACCTTTCTGCCAGTGGCAACGTTATACAAAAAGAATTTGCATTTATTTTATTAATGAGAATAATAACTAAAACCCACAGCAATGAGAATAATAACGGCACAGAGATGCTCAGGCATAAAAGTGACCGTATTTATAAAAGACTTCAAATTTTTTTTTTCAAGTTTAAA